CAGGTTCCCCATCAGGTTCCCCATCACCATCAGGTTCCCCATCAGGTTCGCCATCAGGTTCACCATCAGGTTCACCATCAGGTTCCCCATCAGGTTCCCCATCACCATCAGGTTCCCCATCAGGTTCCCCATCACCATCAGGTTCCCCATCAGGTTCCCCATCAGGTTCACCATCAGGTTCCCCATCAGGTTCCCCATCAGGTTCCCCATCAGGTTCCCCATCAGGTTCCCCATCAGGTTCCCCATCACCATCAGGTTCCCCATCAGGTTCACCATCAGGTTCCCCATCAGGTTCACCATCAGGTTCCCCATCAGGTTCCCAATCAGGTTCCCCATCAGGTTCCCCATCAGGTTCCCCATCAGGTTCCCCATCAGGTTCCCCATCAGGTTCCCCATCAGGTTCGCCATCAGGTTCCCCATCAGGTTCCCCATCAGGTTCACCATCAGGTTCACCATCAGGTTCCCCATCAGGTTCCCCATCAGGTTCCCCATCAGGTTCCCCATCAGGTTCCTCATCACCATCAGGTTCCCCATCACCATCAGGTTCCCCATCAGGTTCGCCATCAGTTTCACCATCAGGTTCACCATCAGGTTCCCCATCAGGTTCCCCATCAGGTTCCCCATCAGGTTCCCCATCACCATCAGGTTCCCCATCACCATCAGGTTCCCCATGAGGTTCCCCATCAGGTTCCCCATCAGGTTCCCCATCAGGTTCCCCATCAGGTTCACCATCAGGTTCACCATCAGGTTCCCCATCAGGTTCCCCATCAGGTTCCCCATCAGGTTCCCCATCAGGTTCCCCATCAGGTTCCTCATCAGGTTCCCCATCAGGTTCCCCATCAGGTTCCCCATCAGGTTTCCCATCAGGTTCCCATCAGGTTCCCCATCAGGTTCCCCATCAGGTTCACCATCAGGTTCACCATCAGGTTCCCCATCAGGTTCCCCATCAGGTTCACCATCAGGTTCACCATCAGGTTCCCCATCAGGTTCCCCATCAGGTTCACCATCAGGTTCACCATCAGGTTCACCATCAGGTTCCCCATCAGGTTCCCCATCAGGTTCCCCATCAGGTTCCCCATCAGGTTCCCCATCACCATCAGGTTCCCCATCAGGTTCCCCATCAGGTTCACCATCAGGTTCCCCATCAGGTTCCCCATCAGGTTCCCCATCAGGTTCCCCATCAGGTTCCCCATCAGGTTCCCCATCAGGTTCCCCATCAGGTTCACCATCAGGTTCCCCATCAGGTTCCCCATCAGGTTCACCATCAGGTTCCCCATCAGGTTCCCCATCAGGTTCACCATCAGGTTCCCCTTTAGGTTCCCCATCAGGTTCCCCATCAGGTTCACCATCAGGTTCACCATCAGGTTCACCATCAGGTTCCCCATCATGTTCCCCATCAGGTTCCCCATCAGGTTCCCCATCACCATCAGGTTCCCCATCAGGTTCCCCATCACCATCAGGTTCCCCATCAGGTTCCCCATCAGGTTCCCCATCATGTTCCCCATCAGGTTCCCCATCAGGTTCCCCATCAGGTTCGCCATCAGGTTCGCCATCAGGTTCGCCATCAGGTTCGCCTTCAGGTTCGCCATCAGGTTCCCCATCACCATCAGGTTCCCCATCAGGTTCCCCATCAGGTTCACCATCAGGTTCCCCATCAGGTTCCCCATCAGGTTCCCCATCAGGTTCCCCATCAGGTTCCCCATCAGGTTCCCCATCAGGTTCCCCATCAGGTTCACCATCAGGTTCCCCATCAGGTTCCCCATCAGGTTCACCATCAGGTTCCCCATCAGGTTCCCCATCAGGTTCACCATCAGGTTCCCCTTTAGGTTCCCCATCAGGTTCCCCATCAGGTTCACCATCAGGTTCACCATCAGGTTCACCATCAGGTTCACCATCAGGTTCCCCATCATGTTCCCCATCAGGTTCCCCATCAGGTTCCCCATCACCATCAGGTTCCCCATCAGGTTCCCCATCACCATCAGGTTCCCCATCAGGTTCCCCATCAGGTTCCCCATCATGTTCCCCATCAGGTTCCCCATCAGGTTCCCCATCAGGTTCGCCATCAGGTTCGCCATCAGGTTCGCCATCAGGTTCGCCTTCAGGTTCGCCATCAGGTTCGCCATCAGGTTCCCCATCAGGTTCCCCATCAGGTTCCCCATCAGGTTCCCCATCAGGTTCCCCATCAGGTTCCCCATCAGGTTCCCCATCAGGTTCCCCATCACCATCAGGTTCCCCATCACCATCAGGTTCCCCATCAGGTTCGCCATCAGTTTCACCATCAGGTTCACCATCAGGTTCCCCATCAGGTTCCCCATCAGGTTCCCCATCAGGTTCCCCATCACCATCAGGTTCCCCATCACCATCAGGTTCCCCATCAGGTTCCCCATCAGGTTCCCCATCAGGTTCCCCATCAGGTTCCCCGTCAGGTTCCCCATCAGGTTCCCCATCAGGTTCCCCATCAGGTTCCCCATCAGGTTCCCCATCAGGTTCCCCATCAGGTTCCCCATCAGGTTCCCCATCAGGTTCCACATCAGGTTCCCCATCAGGTTCACCTTCAGGTTCACCATCAGGTTCCCCATCAGGTTCCCCATCAGGTTCACCATCAGGTTCACCATCAGGTTCACCATCAGGTTCCCCATCAGGTTCCCCATCAGGTTCCCCATCAGGTTCCCCATCAGGTTCACCATCAGGTTCCCCATCAGGTTCCCCATCAGGTTCACCATCAGGTTCCCCATCAGGTTCCCCATCAGGTTCCCCATCAGGTTCCCATCAGGTTCCCCATCAGGTTCCCCATCAGGTTCACCTTCAGGTTCACCATCAGGTTCCCCATCAGGTTCGCCATCAGTTTCACCATCAGGTTCACCATCAGGTTCCCCATCAGGTTCCCCATCAGGTTCCCCATCAGGTTCCCCATCACCATCAGGTTCCCCATCAGGTTCCCCATCAGGTTCCCCATCAGGTTCCCCATCAGGTTCCCCATCAGGTTCCCCATCAGGTTCCCCATCAGGTTCCCCATCAGGTTCCCCATCAGGTTCCCCATCAGGTTCCCCATCAGGTTCCCCATCAGGTTCCCCATCAGGTTCCCCATCAGGTTCCCCATCAGGTTCACCTTCAGGTTCACCATCAGGTTCCCCATCAGGTTCACCATCAGGTTCCCCATCAGGTTCCCCATCAGGTTCACCATCAGGTTCCCCTTTAGGTTCCCCATCAGGTTCCCCATCAGGTTCACCATCAGGTTCACCATCAGGTTCACCATCAGGTTCACCATCAGGTTCCCCATCATGTTCCCCATCAGGTTCCCCATCAGGTTCCCCATCACCATCAGGTTCCCCATCAGGTTCCCCATCACCATCAGGTTCCCCATCAGGTTCCCCATCAGGTTCACCATCAGGTTCCCCATCAGGTTCCCCATCAGGTTCCCCATCAGGTTCCCCATCAGGTTCCCCATCAGGTTCCCCATCAGGTTCCCCATCAGGTTCGCCATCAGGTTCACCATCAGGTTCACCATCAGGTTCCCCATCAGGTTCCCCATCAGGTTCCCCATCAGGTTCCCCATCAGGTTCCCCATCAGGTTCCCCATCAGGTTCCTCATCAGGTTCCCCATCAGGTTCCCCATCAGGTTCCCCATCACCATCAGGTTCCCCATCAGGTTCCCCATCAGGTTCACCATCAGGTTCCCCATCAGGTTCCCCATCAGGTTCCCCATCAGGTTCCCCATCAGGTTCCCCATCAGGATCCCCATCAGGTTCACCATCAGGTTCCCCATCACCATCAGGTTCCCCATCAGGTTCACCATCAGGTTCCCCATCAGGTTCCCCATCAGGTTCCCCATCAGGTTCCCCATCAGGTTCCCCATCACCATCAGGTTCCCCATCAGGTTCCCCATCAGGTTCCCCATCAGGTTCCCCATCAGGTTCCCCATCAGGTTCCCCATCAGGTTCGCCATCAGGTTCCCCATCAGGTTCCCCATCAGGTTCCCCATCAGGTTCACCATCAGGTTCCCCATCAGGTTCCCCATCAGGTTCCCCATCAGGTTCTCCATCAGGTTCCCCATCAGGTTCCCCATCAGGTTCCCCATCAGGTTCCTCATCAGGTTCCCCATCAGGTTCCCCATCAGGTTCCCCATCAGGTTCCCCATCAGGTTCCCCATCAGGTTCACCATCAGGTTCCCCATCACCATCAGGTTCCCCATCAGGTTCCCCATCAGGTTCTACATCAGGTTCCCCATCAGGTTCCCCATCAGGTTCCCCATCAGGTTCGCCATCAGGTTCGCCATCAGGTTCGCCATCAGGTTCGCCATCAGGTTCGCCATCAGGTTCGCCATCAGGTTCGCCATCAGGTTCGCCTTCAGGTTCGCCATCAGGTTCGCCATCAGGTTCCCCATCAGGTTCCTCATCAGGTTCCCCATCAGGTTTCCCATCAGGTTCCCCATCAGGTTCCCCATCAGGTTCCCCATCAGGTTCCCCATCACCATCAGGTTCCCCATCAGGTTCGCCATCAGTTTCACCATCAGGTTCACCATCAGGTTCCCCATCAGGTTCCCCATCAGGTTCCCCATCAGGTTCCCCATCACCATCAGGTTCCCCATCAGGTTCCCCATCAGGTTCGCCATCAGGTTCCCCATCAGGTTCCCCATCAGGTTCCCCATCAGGTTCCCCATCACCATCAGGTTCCCCATCAGGTTCCCCATCAGGTTCACCATCAGGTTCCCCATCAGGTTCCCCATCAGGTTCCCCATCAGGTTCCCCATCAGGTTCCCCATCAGGTTCCCCATCAGGTTCCCCATCAAGTTCCCCATCAGGTACCCCATCAGGTTCCCCATCAGGTTCCCCATCAGGTTCCCCACCAAGCTCACGTGCCGTTTTTATCCATGTCATCCGTGTGCCATGCTGTCTTGTCTCTGCACACACATACCGCACCCCCCCTCCTCCTCCCCCCATCACCTCGTGGCAGTACATAGAGGTGGACGGGGTGGCTTTCAATGACTTCCTCTGCACGCCATGCCCCCCCGGCTTCTACAGGTCTCCCGCCCACCCCTGCTTACACTCGCACTCGCACCTGCCCTGCTGGCCCAAACCCTGCAGACACTTGCACTGGCACACAAGATAGCACGTGTACGAGTCACTCCTTCCGTGGCGGACTGCCAATGCCATTTAAATGCTGCGTGCTTGCTTAAACCAATCTCTCCTCATGCACCACTTGCAATGTTTTCCCCTCCTGCCTACTGCCCTGCTTCCACTCTTACCTCCCCTCCTCCATGCCTTCCCCCCTCCCTGCCCCCCATCCTTCCGTCCACCCTTTGCCCCATTCTCCTCCCCTCCTCTCCTTTCCGCCTCCTACCCTCATCCCCTCATTCCCTTGTTCCCTTCCCCCCTCTCCCCGCCTCACTCCACATCCCCCCACGTGTCCCTGTGCATGTGAGCAGTGCGGAGGGCGCGGGTGCATGTGAGCCGTGTCCTGAGAACACGATTTCCAAGTGAATCTTACAGGGGTCAACAGACTGGATTCTTCAATCCAACCGAGTCAGCACATGATATGTCCATTCCGTGGGCATCCTTTTGATGCCCCCCTCCATGTGGCCATGTGAAAGGCTCTATGCTCACACACCTCTCATGCATGCACATATTTGCATTTGCAAATAAATATACATATGCATGTGCGTGTGTGTGTGCGTGTGCGTATGTTTGTGTGTGTGCACCAATGGCAGGGAGGGGGCATCAGAGTGCACGGCATGTGGGAGCAACGCCTATGCGCGCATCGTCCCCCGCACCGAGTGCAAGCCCCGCCTCCGTGAGCCTGCCAGCCCCGCCCCTCGTGACACTCCACACCACCATTGCCAGATGCATACCTCTCCCACCTCTCTCTCATGACGCACTCTCATCTCATACCTCTCCCTCGTGCCACCACTGTGTTCTTCCCCTTCCCCCCCTCCCATCGCGGTTCAGCATGCAGTGTGAGCGATTCCACCATCACATACACGCCATGCCAGCTCGCCTCCAAGAAGCGCATCATGGTGAGCCCATGCCGTGCCATGCCATGCCATGCCATGCCATGCCATGCCATGCCATGCCATGCCATGCCATACCATGCCACGCCATGCCTCTGTCTCTTTCATCCCCCTGCCCACCTGCAATCACTGCCGCCATCATCGTCCATGTTGTCCCTGCTTGCATATCTCCTCACTGTGATCCCTGCCTCTCTCCTTCATTTGTGTGTGCATGTGTGCATCCATGCATGCATGCAGAAGTGGCAGTGGATCCAGCCTCAGATCTGTGACCCCTCCAACATCACTCCAGCCCTTGACTGCGGTGAGCTGCCATGCCATGCCATGCACGCCACACCATTTAATACTATTCCAAGCCATGCCATGCTACGGCCTACAATGCCCACACGGCGCCATTCTTCCCGGTCCACTTGGCCCAGCCACAAGCATTCCTCCACCTGCACCTCTCTCCCCCATGCATCCCATGTCCTCGCCGCGTCTCATCTCACCCAAACAGAGCCGTGCCCTGATGGCCAGCAGGCAGAGCCCGACCCGCACTCAGGGGAGATCCACTGCACGCTCTGCCCTCCCGTGAGCCCTCTCCCCCTCTTGCACCATCTCCATTCCATGCCTCCTGCCTCTGCCCCCAATGCTCCCTCTGCCCTCTCCATCCATCGCCGCCTGCCCGACCGTCTAGCCTTCCCTGGTGCACCCTCCTCCCCCCGCATGACCCCCTCTCTCCCTCCACACCCCACATAACCACAGAGCACAGCACGGCAGGCGAGCTATGAGGGGGGGGCTGGCAGTGCCAGCAGCATACTGGAGGGGCGGTGTGAGGCGTGCAGCGCAGGGCAGGTGGCGATGAAGGCCCTGTCGCTGAGGCACTTCACCATGCAGCCCAACGGCGCCCTGCCCCCCAACTTCACCACTGGTTGCCATGGTGACTGTGGCACCTTCGGCTGGAGGGCCTTTCAGGACCACCTTGACTCGGGCAGTGGCCACGGCCCCACCGCCTCTGTGAGAAATGGATAGATCGGCTTGCTGTATGCGCTACACCACGAGATTGTTCTGTGAACACTAGTCATTGCCACGTGGCACCAAGACTGTGCTCACTTGTTTAAGGACCACCTCGACTCGGGCAGTGGCCACGGGCCCACCGCCACCGTGAGGAAAGGCGGACGGGCTTTCTGGAATGCGGGCTATATGATTGCTGTGTGAACACTGAACACTAGTCGACGATGCCATGGAGCGTCATGGCACCTGAGTGGTGTTGACTCGTGTCATCACCATCTTGACTACTGCAGTGACCACGGGCGTTAGTGATACCTTCTTCCCAACTTGCCCTGCGTCTTGTTTCCCTCCCCTCTCTGCCCCTCTGCCCCTGGCGCCCTTGCGGCATCAGATATGGCTGGCGTTGGAGGTGCACATGGCAGTACGCGGGTACATGACCTTCAACTACTCCGTTGACATCCTCCCTGGGGACCCCGGCCGCGCCTTCTTCTTCTTTATCGACCATGACCTCATGGACTATGTGGAGGTGACGTCATGGACTATGTGGAGGTGACGTCATGGACTATGTGGAGGTGACGTCATGGACTATGTGGAGGTGACGTCATGGGCTATGTGGAGGTGACGTCATGGGCTATATGGAGGTGACGTCATGGACTATGTGGAGGTGACGTCATGGACTATGTGGAGGTGACGTCATGGACTATGTGGAGGTGACGTCATGGACTGTGGAGGTGACGTCATGGGCTATGTGGAGGTGACGTCATGGGCTATGTGGAGGTGACGTCATGGACTATGTGGAGGTGACGTCATGGACTATGTGGAGGTGACGTCATGGACTATGTGGAGGTGACGTCATGGGCTATGTGGAGGTGACGTCATGGACTATGTGGAGGTGACGTCATGGGCTATGTGGAGGTGACGTCATGGACTATGTGGAGGTGACGTCATGGACTATGTGGAGGTGACGTCATGGGGTATGTGGTGGTGGCGTCATGTGCTATGTGGAGGTGACGTCATGGGGTATGTGGTGGTGGCGTCATGTGCTATGTGGAGGTGACGTCATGGGGTATGTGGAGGTGACCCCGTATGAAGTGGTCTATTCATGTGTAGATAATCTGGTGGTGTGCTTAGAGGTGTGAAGGTGCATGCATTGCACACATTGCCATGCATGCATTGCTGCACGGTGTTGGGAGCAAGCAAGGCGTGCCTATGGTCCCCCTCATACTCCTCCCACCTTCCCACTGCCCCTTCCCTCTGGCAGCAACAACGCGTGGAGTGGGAGGAGGGCGGGGAGGGGAGCGGGCATCCGGGGTCAGGGGAGGAGGAGACGCGCATGAGTGGCATGTGGGAGCTGGATGTGGGGCGCCACTCGGTGATGTGGGTGTGGCAGAAACTGGATGACTCGGGCGCTGCTACCAGGACCACGCGCGACTCTGCTGTCATCTATGACATCTATGTGCGTGTGACATCCATGTGCGTGTGACATCCATGTGCGTGTGACATCCATGTGCGTGTGACATCCATGTGCGTGGCTGGGCATGTGCTATCCATGTGTGTGTGTAGTCGTGGCACGGGAAGGGTTCCGAGTGTGTGTAAGCGCAGCGGTTGACCTGTGCATGCACATGAATGCTGCCAGTATGCTATGGTGACATGGCACTACCAATGATTGCACGTCATGTGCCTATGGTTGCACGTCATGTGCCTATGATTGCACGTCATGTGCCTATGATTGCACGTCATGTGCCTATGGTTGCACGTCATGTGCCTATGATTGCACGTCATGTGCCTATGATTGCACACACCCATGCCCCCCTCTCTCTCTGCCTGCCCGCTTGCATGCAATGCCGCCGTGCAGATAGAGGGAGTGGCGGAGGGCGGTGCAGCGCGGTGTGAGGAGGTACCGCAGGGGACAGCGCTAGCAGAGGGGGGCGACTCGTACGTACCGTGTCCCCCCGGCACGTCCAGTGAGGGCGGTGCGTCCTCCTGCCTGCCGTGCCCGCCCAACACCTTCAACAACCAGCCCCAGGTGCGCCCCTCCCTGCTGCAACACGCCACCCCATGCATGCCATGCCATGCCCCGCCATGCCCCGCCGTGCCACCCAGTCCATACCACGCCAGTCCATGCACCATGCTTCAGCTTTGCCCCTGCAAGCATCCCATTTCCGCCAACCACCCATGCAGCCATGCAGCAATGCTGCCATGCCTCCATCCCTCCACTCGCCCGCCTGTGGCTTTCCTTGTGTGCCCCTTCCCTCTCACTGCTGCTCGGGAGCACAGTGGGTGTGCATGCTGTGTGTATTTGAGTCAACATGACAGCACCCTCTGCTGCGTTTGACCACGCCACTTGACTCTGCCCTCCCTTGCATCCTGCTACGTGTGTGCTAGGGGGCGCAGTGGGCGTGCATGCCGTGTGGAGCGGGCACATCCTCCCTGGCGGGCAGCACGGAGTGCTTCATCGGAGACGCCACTCGCCCCGCCTCCTTCTGCACCTTCTCCCTCCCCACCGACTCCATCCCTCGTAACCCATTCCTCGGCCACGACGGCGCAGAGGAGCAGGCGGGGCAGGAGGGGAAACGTGTGGAGGTGGGGGAAGGGGGGACGGACGGGGGGGAGGGGGAGAGCGGGTTGGAAGGGGAAGCAGGGAAGGGGGGGGCATTGCCCCCTGGTGGCACGGTGGCTGCTGTGGCAGGCAATGGGACGGCGGCAGCGGTGGTGTTTGACCTCTCCCCCCTGTCCCGCATGCACCCCGGCCGCATGTTTGGTCCCGTGCTCGATGCTGCTGCTGCTCATGACACTGATGGTGCTGCTGCTGGGGGGGAAGATGTTGCAGAGGGAGGGGCGGTAGGGGGCCGTGGGCAGGGAGGGAGGGGGAGCATCAGGGCAAGGGGAGCAGCGGAGTATTTCGTGAGTGTGTGCGATAGGGACAGCGGCAACGACACATGCTATGATTACTCGGGGCGGTCCCTTAACACCTACGCGTGCAAGGTGCAGTGCCGTGCTGTGTCTACCCAACGCACACCCCTCACTGCACTGCACTGCACGTGCTGCAGCCTTTCCACATTCCAACCAACCACATGCTGCTGGCCATGCACCTGGCTCTCTGCCTCACTTTAGCACCCTACCGTCCTGCTCTCCATCCTCCCCATCTCCCCCACTCTTTCCTCCCCTGCACCCAGCCTGGGCAGCGTGGTGGCGGTGTATCCGCTGGCACCCGTGCATGCAGGGCTCCTCACCACAACCCACCGCACCCCACCGCACCCCCCACCCCACGCAGGTGGATCCACGGGAGGCCAGAAGCGGAGCACGGCCGGGGCACAGTCTAGGCAGCGCGGTGGCGGTGTACCCGCTGGCAGCCGTGCATGCGGGGCTGTACCGGCGGGGCCTGGTGATGGCGCTCACAGGGGACGAGTGCCCTCAGACCAACATGCCGCGAGAGACCAACCTCACCTTCATCTGTGACCCCGCTGCTGGTGTGTGGAGTGGGGGGGAGTGAGTGAGAGGGGTGGGGTTTGCGAGAAGAATGTGCGCGCATGGTGCCAAGTAGCCAGGCACTGCAGCAATGTTTGTTAATTTTACAGACCACACCCCAGCTATCCGCCATTAATCATCCGCCACCATCCACTCTCCATTCTCCACCCACCATCTTTCCAACCCCCTCAGGCCACGGGCAGCCAGAGGCATGGACGGAGGATGGGCAGGCAGCAGCGCTGAACCCGGTGCTGGAGTACCCGCAGTACAGCCAACGGGGGGGAGCGGTGCAGCGCATAGAGCACAGCGACTGCTCCTTCAGCCTCGTGTGGTACTCGCTGTTTGCGTGCCCGCTGTGCTCCCATGAGGACTATGAGCGCGTGGAGACGGCTGAGTGCATGGACGAGACAAGGGCCACCTTCAAGTGGAAATCGCCTCGGGTATGCTGTGCTGCATGCATGCATGAGGGTGTTGCTGTTCACTGCGTGGCTTTTGACCGGGTCACTAACAATCTGCCAGAGTGTTCTGCGCCCAGAGGTGTTCCTTTGTACTGCATTTTCATCCTCCAGTTACCTCCAATGTGCTCGTCAATTCATCACGGTTTCTCCGCTCAACGCTCTTCCAACTCTTCTCTCCCTTTTTCATGCCCCACCTCCCATTCCTTCCCTCATCCCCCCAGGTGTGCCAGCTGAACCCGTTCAACCCGCTACCCCCAGACGAGCCCTGTGAGCCGTGCAAGCCAGACGACATCATCCGCACCCAGGGGGGCTGCGCTGACGCCAACGGCAACCACAACGTCACGTACTCGTGGCGCCAGCCGCACCACTGCAGCCCCACCCTCCCCGGCGCTGCCTCCCTGCCGGCACCGGAGCTGGTGGGGCCGTGTGAGCAGCGGTGGGTGTACGTGCCTTCGGATGCGCTGTCTCCCATGTGGATTGCGCTGTTTGTGGGCCTGGCCATGCTCATTGTGAGCTTTGGATATCTCTCGCTTGTCACGTGGCTCCGCAGCCGTCGATTGCGGCAGATGTATCAACGGCTGGTGGAGGCCGAGGTGCAGATGGAGGGGGATATGGGTGATTTGCATGCGGATGGGGATGGGGATGGGGATGGGGGTGCCGAGGACATTCGACTCACTAGTGACGACTCATAGGGAAGTCAGCAGTTGAGACGAAATTATTTTGCTTTTTTTCATGGAAGGCAAAAATCATATTCACACAATCGTACATAATTGCCGTTAGAGAGTACTTTTTGGGCGTAGAGATGTAGAACTGTGAATTTTGTCCTCGGTACTATGCTGCTCTCAAATGGCATTTCACGTGAACAATCCCACTACAAGCGAGGTGAGTACTTGGATTTGTGAAAGTATCGCTTCCTCGCCACCACCACAACCACCCCCACAGTTCTCCGTTCGGCCGCGTTTGGCGGACCGGCAGGCCGGCATGGGGGTGAGCGACGCGTCGGTGATCCAGACAGCGCTCAGCGTCACGCTCGCGTCGGCGGCGAGGCGAGCCGGGTGGATCAGGTGAGGTCGGCGAGACTGAGATTCGCACAGACTAGGCACCGCGCGCGGGGAAGTGAGGGGGTCAACCGACAGGGAATTGCAGCGTAGACGAGCGGAGGGCAGCGCGGCGGCCTGCGCGCATGCTGCTGCCCCGTCGTGCTTAGGCGGAGCTGCCACCTCGCCACCGTGCCTGCCGCGCACGCTACTCTTCCCAGCGCATGTTCTTAGGATCGTAAGCACCTTAGTCGGCAATAGTCTACTTGCTATTGCTTATCGTGTTCTCCACGATCTCACGAATCCAATGATATGCGCAGCTCTGCTTGAAGTTGTCAATACACACTTCAGCAATTTTCAGAATCTCCAAGTTGTGTTTTCCAGAATGAGTACAAGCAGTTTTATAGTCAAGCAAGTCACAAAATGCGATTCGTAACTTCACTTGTTTCCCAAGTAACCGCGTGCGCCTCGTTTCACCCCGAGTCGCACACGGAACCGAACCGAATTCGCCAAACACTCCTCGAGTCCGAATCCAGCACCTTCTCGAACACGCCTCAGTCTCGAACCACAATTTCCCCTTGTCAACTCCAATCTCGATACTTCTTCACTCTTCTTCCTCCATTTCTCTAGTTTCTTCCCAATTTCTCTCTTGCTTCTCACGCCGTAGCTTCCATTCTCCACCGTAGGCCGATTTCCATCGTTTCACCTAGAATCATCCACGTGCTTCCATTTCGCCGTCATTCCGCCGTCGTAGAAGCTTTCGCCGTAGGTTCCGTGGTTGGTCGAACCAACCCTAACAATCTCCCCTATGGTTCGTCAACCACGAACACCACTCGCACTGCTTTCCTGCTCCTTGTAGCATTCACAGGGTCTAAGTCGGCTTCACGCTCCTCTGCAGCTCCTGCACCTTGAACCTCTGGTTACGTGTCTTGAAGTTGAGCGCCTTGATATCCAAACCATGAGACATTTTCTTAAGCCTCTCACTTCTCCTCGGCATCTTAACACCCAACACCTCTCGGGTCTCGTACCCCTCAACGTGTTCCTCCTTCGTAAGCACTCGCCCCTTTGCAGTTGCTTTCTCCTTTGATCTCTTCACCAGGATGTCCCCTTTCACAGCTTCAACTCCCATATACTTCTCATTTACTGCTTCATCTTCAACCACGATCGCTGCTGCAAAAGTGTTGTCACCAACTCCATCTCCACCATTCACTGCTGCTGCCTCCATGGCGACTATCTCCTCTTTCTGCTTCACTGCTGCCTCCACACTCGCTGCCGTATCATCCGTGTCCTCACTCTCATCAACCTTAGTCGATAACTTCTCCAATTCTCCCATTTCACCATACTCAGGATCCTCATAGATCTCATCCATATCATTCGTCGCTATCACGTTCATCTCATAAAATCCGTCACTGAAGTAACCCTCTGCGTACTTCTCCCACTCTGGGCCAAACATTGTAACCTTTCCACTGTCATAAAATATCTTGCACCCCAAGTCATCAAGCTGTGACTGACTGACCAAATTCACCTTTAAATCCTCAACCAGCAGCACACTGTCCAGTTTCACCTCTCCATACGGACTCTGCAGCACCACGTCACCCTCTCCTGTCACTGGCAACTTCCCGCTGTTACCTTGCAGTATATAATCCTCACTCGAGTCCCTCACATTCTCCATCCAATCTGACCTGAATGTCATGTGACGCGTGCATCCGCTGTCCATGAACCATGCCGTCTTCTCACGATCGTCCGTCTGCCGAACCTCCTTTGGTAAACGCACCACGTTCGCAAGATGCGCTCCTCCAAAAATCACATCTTCCTTTTCCGCTTCTGCTACATTCGCCTTTGCCGCCACATTCCTCTGCTGCGACGGACCCTTGTAGCTCCTGCTATTCGGGTTGGAGTAGCACTCTGCGGCACGATGTCCATAGCGCCCACAATAGTCGCACTTGCCGCCAAAACCCCGTTTCTGCTGCCACTCCGCTCCCCCATTTTCTCCTTTATCGTTCTCCACCGCTTTGCCCTTGTAGTTTCTGCTTCGCGGATTTTCGTAGCAGTTTATCGCCTTATGCCCCCTCTTTCCACACTGGTAGCACGCTCCAAACGCCTTCGTTGCATTCACCAAAGCCGACCTCTCCTCGTCTAATTCCGCTGCTGCTGCCGCTTTCTTTTTCCTCATCTCCTTCACCGTCTCAAGCGATTGCAGAATCTCCTGCAGCTTCGTCAAACTCTCCGGCGGTTGGTACGTAAACATACCGATGTCGGATTCCCACTCCTTAGGAAGGCCTTGGATGATATAGTCAATCATCTCCTGCTCCGTCTCCGCGGCTCCCATCACCCGCAAGTCGTCGTTGTAGTTTTTCGCCCTGTTGATGTAGGTGATGATTTTCTCGCCTTTCTCCATGCTCAGCATCAGCAGTTGCTTCCTAATTGCCTTCTTGTTTACATCGTTCGTGCCCATGTACGTGGACTCCAGGTACTCCCACGCTTTCTGTGCAGAGTTCAGCTCCCCTGCAAACTGGTCCAAATCCACCGCGATTCCGTCGGCAACTGAGTGACAAAGCTGAAAGAACGCTTGCTTACTTTGTTTTTTGAACGCCGCTATTTTCTCCTTCGTATCCGTCGGGGATGGCGCAACTCCTTCCATCGTCTCCTCGTCGGGACGGTAGTACGGCAAGAGGTCAACCTCCTCTGCCCTCCGAATAAACTTCTTCCGCCACACGTTGTAGTTGCTTCCATTGAAGCGCTGGGCTTCACTGAGCCCGATCGTCGGTTTCGCCACCAATCGGCCACTCGCAAGGGCCTCGAGAAGAGCCTTCAACTGCGGGTCTCCAAGACTCACACTGGAACCCGAACTCGCCTCGTCTCCCATGGCGTAGGCGTGAACGACTCCTCTTCTCCACTAATTTCACTTAGCGCACCAAGTGAATTCACCGCGATCGACGCGCCCGTTCGCCAAGCCCTGATACCAGTTCTTAGGATCGTAAGCACCTTAGTCGGCAATAGTCTACTTGCTATTGCTTATCGTGTTCTCCACGATCTCACGAATCCAATGATATGCGCAGCTCTGCTTGAAGTTGTCAATACACACTTCAGCAATTTTCAGAATCTCCAAGTTGTGTTTTCCAGAATGAGTACAAGCAGTTTTATAGTCAAGCAAGTCACAAAATGCGATTCGTAACTTCACTTGTTTCCCAAGTAACCGCGTGCGCCTCGTTTCACCCCGAGTCGCACACGGAACCGAACCGAATTCGCCAAACACTCCTCGAGTCCGAATCCAGCACCTTCTCGAACACGCCTCAGTCTCGAACCACAATTTCCCCTTGTCAACTCCAATCTCGATACTTCTTCACTCTTCTTCCTCCATTTCTCTAGTTTCTTCCCAATTTCTCTCTTGCTTCTCACGCCGTAGCTTCCATTCTCCACCGTAGGCCGATTTCCACCGTTTCACCTAGAATCATCCACGTGCTTCCATTTCGCCGTCATTCCGCCGTCGTAGAAGCTTTCGCCGTAGGTTCCGTGGTTGGGCGAACCAACCCTAACACGTGCTTAGGCGGAGCTGCCACCTCGCCACCGCGCCTGCCGCGCACGCTACTCTTCCCAGCGACGAGCAGTAGATTTCGCTGCCTGGGGGCTTGCCTCAACGGCTGCTGCATGCCCGTGGTCCGTTTTCTCACCACCCGCGTCCCCGCTCTGTCGTCCCGTCCCCCCTCCCCTCCCACTTTGTGTGAGTGCAGCTACCACCCGGAGAGGATAGGCAACGAGAACGTGCGCAAGGCGGTGGACGTGGCGCTGTGGGTGGGCGACGGCATCACTGCACTGGTGAGCGCAGAGTTGATGAGGGCACTGGTGAGAGCAGCGCGGCAAGCAGTGTGGGTGGTAGTATGTGCATTGCATGCGTGCACGCAGCGGTATTGGCATGCTTCTCTTCCTCTTCCCCATCATCTCACAAGCACGGCATGCCCCCATGCCAACCTCTTTTGCTCCCCACCGCGCTCCCTCCATGTCCCCCACCACCACCACCATCTCTGGCAGGGCTGTGCGGTGATTGATGCAGTGAAGAAGATGGCAGGGCGCGGAGGAAACAGGCTGGGGCGCCGGTGACGGGGACACGGATAGGGAAAGGGATGCTTTAGGGTGGCATGAGGGTGGCACAGGATGGTGGTCAGTGCAGGAGGCCAGTGGGCATCAGCTCCCTAGGGGTGACTGTTAGGGCATGTGGAAGAATGGGAACATGCTGTCAGGGGATGACCTCATTAGTCTAGTCTAATGCCTAACCATTTTCTACATGTAATAAAAAGCATGGCATCCTGAAGAGCGACAGCTAAACTTCCTCAGATCTGGCAGCAATGACTAACGGAGCTCTCCTCCACTGTGCTCGTCCTGCCTCTTGTCAAGTGCTGGCACCTTCTGTAGGCCGCACACATCCCTCACTCTCTCTTCCACTGCACACACAGCCATTTGTCAAACACCCCGCCTCCACTCTCTCCGCTTGCTCCCTCCCCTTCACTCCCTTCCTTCCCCCGTGGTTCCCCCTCCCCTTCTCTCAACTCCACTCCCCCTCCCCCCTCCACCGGCTTCTCCCCTTTCTCGCTCTTCTCCCCCATCTCCCCCTCCTCCCCTCCTTCCCCACCCTGTCCCCCTGCGCGGTGCGCCTTGGGGAAGTGCCAGGCGCCGTCGCTTGACTCCTGGGGGAGGCAGCAGCACATGCATGCGGGCGGCACAGGGCGAGGGAGAGGCAGATGAGGGGATGAGGGGATGGGGCGGATGGGGGTGGATGGGATGGTTTGTGTGGATGGTGGAGATACGGCATGTGGCATGGTGATGACACCATGAGCATGCAAGGAGAGAAGGTTGAAAGGGAGGTAGTAGTGGCAAGGGAAGGGGATCGAGACCTCGAGGGAAGGGGTGCAACCTCGAGTGACGGAGAAGGGAGGGGCGGGTCTGACCTGGATGACGAAGGAGAAGTTGGGTGGCATGCGCAGCACTGGCCCTCGCGGTGTCATGGTGAACCGCACCTGCCATGCCATGCCATGCCATGCCACGCGCCCGGCACCACACCAAAGCAATTCACGCAAGCATGATGAGAAACCATGAGCATGCAAGCAGAGTGAAAACACATTAACGTCACACATGCTAGGAGCCAAACACACACACAGCAGCCACCATGGTGGCTTCATCCCATGGCAGCAAACCACATGCTCGCTACTAACCACCTCCCTCTTTCACCCCTCCCCCCAATTCACCCGCCAGCCACCCCCCCTCCACCCGTGTCCTCGCCCACCTGGTGGCGCTCCTTCCAGCGGGAGAAGTAGTCAGCGCTGAGCGTCTGGAAGATGTGGTCGCGCATCTCATCGTTGCTCACCAGCAGACACCGCATCAATATCGCCGCGTACAGCCAGTACCTGCCCACCGCATGGAGGTGGGGAGGAAGGAGGGGAAGGGAGTCAGGTGCAGGAGGGGCATGGGGCGTGGGGCATGGGTCAGCAGGCGCCCAGCCTTGAATGATTCCTGCACGGATCAGTGGCTATGTGGCAGGGCTGTGAGGGTGGCTCAGAGTGAGGCAGCGCTGGAGCTGCTGTCAGTGAGAGCAGCAGTAGGAGCAGTGGCAGAAACAGGGGCAACAGGCACATGGGTTTGCATTGCGCTTCAGGGCAGCAGGGCAGCGTACCAGTCATCATTGGCGCCAGTGGGGGTGGTGAAGAGGCAGTGCTGCTGCTCGTACTGCGCCAGGCACTGCTGTGCAAACGGCTCTGCTGCCGCCCCGCCCTTCACCCGCTTGTGATGCACCACCAGCAGCGGCAGCCGCGGGGCCGCCGACGCCGAACCTCCACCCGAGCCTGGGTCCGAACCTGCACCCGAGCCTGCCGGCTCCAGGGCGGCGACAGCCTTGGCGATGGAGTGGAGCTGCCAGAAGTTAAAGCCCCCCTGGGCGAAGTTCTGGTTGTACAGCCCCACGTTAGCAGCGTCCACCACGGCATGGAACGGCCCGTGCCGCGCCAGCCACGCCTTGAACGCCGCCAGCTCGCGCGCCTTGCCCCTCGCCTCCACCAGTGCGTCCACGGCCCGGGCAAAGCGCTCTGTCTCGGCGTCGTCCAGGTCGATGGTGGCGAGACGGGCGCTGCAGCCAGAGCACGTGCCCCCCTCGTCCACCCGCACGTCCTGCACCCGCCATGAACCCCCCTGTGCTTCCCCCGCGCCCGCGCCCCCCCCTGCAGTGTCCCCATCAGCGCCCCCTGCAGCAGGCTCACGGCGATCCATGGCCCACCCCAGCCCGTGCCAACCTCCCCCGTTCACTGCCATTGCCCGCTCCGCCTCCTCCTGTGTCCACCCCTTCCGCCCTTCCTCCGCCCCTTCCCCCTGCGCCTCCCTCTCCCCCTCGCTCTCCGCCTCCTTGCTACCCGCCTCCCCTGCCCCCTCCGCCCTCTTCCCCCCCTCGCTCTCCGCGCCCCCCTGTCTCGCGCGTTCAGACTCAAACCACGCTCTCGAAGTCCCAATCACGTCCTCGGGCAGCCCGCGCGCAACTTTCCGCATGCGGTGAATGTTTTTGTACACGCTGCCCGGGCTGCCCGCCCGCACGCTCACGTCCAGCAGGGCGGCGACCTGTTCGGGCAGCGCGGCCAGCCCGCGGGCAGCCATGTGTTGAAAAACCTCCTCCGCGCCGCGCAGGTCCCCCTGGCGGCAGAAGGCGAGCAGCGCGGGGTCATACGAGCGGTGGCGCGGGGGGACGCCCTGCTCCGCCATGTCGCGCACCACGCGGAACGCCATGCGCGCGTCGCCCCGCGCGGAGGCCAGGCGCGCGAGCGAGGTGAAGGTGGCCTCGTTGAGCGGAACGCCCCTCCGCTGCATGTCCGCCCACACGTCCATTCCGCGCGCCGCTGCCACTGCCTTCGCCTCCTCCCTGCTCGACTTCTTCTCCCCGCTTTCCCCTCCGCCCTTTCCCGTAGCGCTGCTGTCCTCCCCACCTGATCCTACCCCTGCCCCATTCTCCCCCTCCTTCTCCTTTCCGCCCTCCTTCCCCTTCCCTCCCCGCGGGACGGACCCCACCTGCCCCGAGGAGGCGACGAGCGCGCAGAGGTAGAGCGCGATGTTGAACTCGTACGTCTTGAAGGCGGGGCCCGTGCCCGCCACGTGCGCGTCGAACAGCGTCAGCGCCGTGCGCAGGTCGCCGTGCTTGCTGCACTGGTTCAGCAGCCGCTTCGCCTCCTCCTCCGCCGTGTACCCGCGCTTGCGCTTCGGCATTTCGCCTTTGCCGCTGCCCTCGCCGCCGCCGCCGCCGCTTCCCTTGCTGCTGCCGCCGCTGCTGCCGCCGCTGCTGCCGCCGCTGCTGCCGCCGCTGCGATCCTTGGAGGTAGGGAGATTACTCCGCACTGCTGCCGCGCTGGCAGCGCCGGCGGTGGCCTGCTGTCGGCTGCTGTTCCCGCGCTCGCTGCTGCTTCGCTGCCCGCTACCGCGGCTTACCTCACTGTTGCCGGCCTCCCTACCTCTGCCGCCGCCCACCCCCTTTCCTCTCCCCGCGCTCGCCTCCCTGCCTCTACCGCCAACCGCAATGCCGCCTGCCCCTGCTGCTGCGCTCGATGGTTCCGCCGTCAAATCGTCCGCCCGAGATCCTACCAGCCCCGCGCGCGTCCGCCAAGCCCCTCTCTCCCTCCCCCTATCCTGAGCTGCGCGCCCCTCCCCCCGATCTCCCTCCCTCCGCTGCCCCTTTGCCCCCGACGCACCGCTGCTCCCCCTGGTAGTGCTGAGGTACGCGGAGCCTGACAGGGGGCGCGCGTGGCGATGGGCGCACGCGAACGACGGGCGGCGGGGGGAAGTGGTGCGGGGGAGAAGAATCGCGCGGAGAGCGGGGAGGAGGCGGCCGAGGGAATGCGGCGAATGGCACGGCGAAGCGACGCGCGCAAGGCGGAGGGCGGGTCGGGAGCAGCGGGCGAGTGAGGCCATGTAATGGGGGGGGAGATCAGCGCGCTAGGGAATGCGCCAGCGCCTGGATGACTTGGGCTGGGAGGTTTTGGGGAGAGGACATGGACGGGTTGGGGGGTTAGCGAAAGCTCGAGAGATGATGTCGCACGAGCCCAAGTGTTACGTAGGAGAATGTGATTACGAATGTTGCATTCCACATACGAAACAATTCCTTTTTGCAGATTGTGTTTTACTTGCATAGCAGGAGGTGGCGAATGCGCAACATAGTTGGCAGACCAGACGTATCTCAACAATCGTCTCTTCGCCGTCACTCGACTAGTCAGTGCTCTTGCGTCCTCCGCGCTCCGCATGCCTCCCTCTCAGCCCCCCCGCGTGTCGACTGGCGGGCGCCCTCCCCCACCACGGAGGGCGGGCGCGCATGGGGGGAACGGCGGAGCGACGAAGAAGCGCGGGAGGGAGAACGAGACGGGGAAGGGGAAGGAGGCGGGAGGCGGGAATGCGGCGCGAATTTACGCGGAAGTGAACAGTGGCGCGCAGCAGGACGTCATGCGCGCAGTGTGCCCCGCCGATACCGCGGTGAGATGACGTCAGTGGCGCGTGAGTCGACTCGACACATGCCCTCCGCCTCACCCTCGTCGCGCCTCTTCGACTCAACGCTCATGCGCCGCTCCTCTCTCCGCTCCGCTTCCTCCCTCTGCTCCTCGACTTTCTCTGACCATCCCTGCTACCCCCTCACTCACGCACGCTGCCCCTCCGCGTCGCGCATGCCAGCTGGCACCCGCGCGAGGCAGTGGCGGCGGCGCATCGAGCGACCCGCTGGCGGGCGTGGAGGCGCGCATCGCGGCGCTTCTCGCGTCGGGCGGGCGCAGAGCGGGCGGCGGAAGCAGCAGCTACAGTGTTCCGCGCATGGAGGTGCTGCTGGAGGTGCCGGGGGGGAAGAAGCGCGCGGGGAAGGACGTGGTGCGGCGCGGGGGGAGTGTGGCGGAGGCAGGCGGGCGGGAAGCGGGGAAGCGGAGCAGGCAGAGGAGCAGAGCGGGGGGAGTGGAGCGGCTGGTGTGGGAGCTGAAGGCGCGCCCTCACCTGTGCAGGTGAAGGGGGAGAAGGTTGGATAAGCGAGGGGGGGGGGTGAGAAGGGGGGAAAGGGACAGCAGAGACGGGGGGACAGGGGTTGATGGAGGAAGGGCGGCGTTGCCATGTCCGGTGCCGTGTGTGCGAGCACCATGCATGTCCCTGCCCTCTCCCCTTCCTCAATTCGCCCAAACCCACCCCTCCTCCCCTCCGCCCTGCCCCTCAGCTTCAACCGCATGGCGCCCCTGGCGGCAGCATGGAGCGACTATGCTGCTGCGCTGTGCCGCTCTGCTGCTGCGCTGTGCCGCTCTGCTGCTGCGCAAACACCAACGCCCGGCCCGCCGGCTGCCTCCGCCTCTGAGTGAGTGCGTATGCGGGCTGGCTCCCTTCTGGTGCATTCATTGCCCAACTCCCTCCCTCTCTTCCGTATTACCCTCTTCTGCTTCCCGTTGCGCTTGTCTGCTCCCATCGTGCCTGCTTCTCGCACCTCCCCGCACCACACTCCCACCCATCAACACACCCAATTGCCCTCCACTTGCATGCACTGACTGCTGTGCCCCTCTCCCCCGCTCCCCCGCATCCCTAGGCTCTTCTTCTCTTCATCCCCCTCTGTTCAATCTCCCCATGTCCTCCCATTCAATTCCCCCCCATATCCTCCCTGCTGCAGGCGTATGGGTGCATGGGTGGCAGCGATGGACCTCCATGGCGCCATGCTCACAGGTGAGGGAATGGGGTGGGGCGGGTGGGTAAAGTGAAGGAGGGGCAGTCAGTGGAAAGGCTGCGTCTGTGTGCTGCGCAGGGGTGGGCTGCAGCAAACGCATGGCGGAGAAATGACCGCCCACTCTTCCATTCACTCCTGCATGCCAGTGCTGCCAGGAGCGCAGCGCCCATGATTGCATCTCCCTTTCTCCTCTCACTTGCATCCCTCCCCTCCCCTCGCCCTCCCAGTGACACGTGCGGCCTCCTCAGGCCATGTGGGCGTGGGCGGCATGGTGCTGGCAGAGTCCACGTCAGCATTCCACCTCATTACACGGGATGACCGCCTCAAAGGTACATGTGCTCCACATGGTGCCATGGCGTGCCGTGCGATGCTCTGCCGTGCCATGTCATGGAGCTTGATGCCATGGCAACTCATTCTATACCATCCATGCTTCTCCGTCAGTCTCCTTAAAACCCGCGGGCCAAGAAGTTCAACCTTAGGAAGGTTCGTTGGGAGTGAAAACGCTATTGGCCCGCGAACCATGGAGGTGTTAGAACTCGGGAATAATCACAGGCGTTTTTGGGACACCCAACCAGCATTAGGAAGGATGAACCAATTTTGGCCTTCTTGACCCTCGGGTTTTAAATTGCTCCTCATAAGACCCCAACTCCCCTAATTACTGCCCCTATGCCCCCTCCGTTTCCACCCCTCAGTCATCCCAAAGCAGGGCTCCGAGTTTCGTCTGCACCTGCCGCCTCTGCTACTGCAGTCAGCAGCGCCAAGGCAAGCAGCGGGAGCACCCCCACCGCAAGTATCACAGCGCGTGGTCACGCTGCAGGGGGACCTCATGCGCACTCGCCCTCGCATGCGCTATGGGGACGCCCTTTGATGCCACCTACACGTCTGAGCCTGCCTTCATGGTGCAACCGGCACACACACCCACAATGCCCTCCGAAACAATAAGCCCTTGGGCAGATGGTTATGCTCACACAGCCCTTGGGCAGATGGTTATGCTCACAGCCCTTAGGCAGATGGTTATGCTCACAGCCCTTGGGCAGATGGTTATGCTCACAGCCCTTGCATGTAGCACAGGGATGCTCGTTGGTGGCACGAGTGGAATCTGCGTTACTGTTCAGCCAGCAGCTGACGTCAGGTGGTACCGCTTCGGCACGTAGCTTTGGGCAATGCCTTGGGCAATTCTACAGCTTGCCCAGATGGTTAGTGTGCAGTAAAATTAGAAAAGTTAGAGGAGGCTTCATATTAGCTTAACACTCGTGAGGCGATGTACGGTATGTGTTTTGAACTTTTGATGAATACTTTGAAATGTAGCCGCTCTTTAACGAGTAATCAACGTTATGTCTCCAGACACTCCACCCACCAACCAACGTGCCTTTCGCACCAATGGAAGGTGTAGTGGTTGCACCTTGCGCGAGTGGCTGGTGGCAACAGCTGTGATCAACACTCGCTAGTCACGACGAGCCTCTTGAATTGGCACAATAGGCTCCAAGGCCAGCTTGCTCGCTCGAGAGTTTGACCTCGTTCTGTGTTACCAGATCCGGAATTGAGTGCCACCACCACCCGTCCACCGCGCACCATTCACCCACTCTCGGCCTCGTCTGACGCGCGCGCACGCGGCCACTGGCGCAAGCGCATCGCCTTCCTCTCATATCCCCCCGCCGTCGCGCACGCCGCTCGCAATGCCTCGACCGGCGTGCCCGCGCCGTATTGGCGCATAACGAAGGGAGCAGTCAAACACCATAATTCCCGAGCAGAGCGCGCCGTTCCGCGAACAGAGCGCGCCGGGGGGCAGGTTAGACCGCAAAAGAGTGGGGATCTTGTAGAGGAGCCACTGTCCCGGTGTAGATCGGTGCTGGGTGGTGGAGGATTGGGGGGAGGGGCATAGAGAACTGGAAGGTAGGAGACATAGAGTAAAAGGTAGAGGGAGGGAGAGGAGGGGCGGGAGAGAAAGGGAGGGAGGAATTGCGGCGGCAAAGGCGGTGGACGGGATAGGAGGAGGCAGAGGAGCGGGGCGGGAGGCAGCGATTCGAGGGCGATCGGTTGAATCTGGTGGTGGTGGTGGTGGCGTGACTGGGTCGCAATGAACTACAAGGGGCTCCTCGTCGCCGTCTTCTATGGTGCGTCAAGCCGCGTAGGGCGGGCCAGCAGCAATCTCAAAGAGGCTCCGCTCTGCTCTGCCATGCTCTGCAACCTTGGTGGCTTCCCCCCTGTGTGCACGCCCACCCATTGCCCCTCCGATCCCCCCCACTTCTCTCACCCCTCAATCACGCTTCCCATTCCCCTCACTCACCCCTCGCCCCCGCCCCCCCCTCTCCCCCCCCCTGCAGGCGGCATGTCGGTGGCGGCGGTGTTTGTGAACAAGGCGATATTCCGCGTGTACCGCTTCACCTTCCCCTACACGCTCGTCTTCTTCCAGACGCTCTTCACGCTCACGCTCCTCGCCGCCATGCGCCTCTCCCGCGCCATCCGCCTCGCCCCCTTCCGCCTCTCCGTCCTGCGCCGGGTACGCCCTCTGCCCCCTGCCCACAGGCGGCCCTTGCCCACAGGCGGCCCATGGGCATGGGCCGGGTGTTCGGGGTTCTGGGCAACAGAGGGAGATGTGAGAGGGGGGCAGTGGGAAGGGGGAGTGGAGGGGAGGAGGAGTTGAAGGGGGAAGGGAGTGGATGAAAGAGGGAGTGGATGGAAATTAGAGCGGGGGGAATGGATGGAGGTTTGAGTGTGGTCTGCTGCACCACTAGCGGTCGTGAGGCTGCCCTGCCCTGCCACCATGCCACCTACCCACGTCCCCTCCCCCACCTCACCCCTCACACCATACCCACTCTCCGCTCTTCCATCCCTGCAGGTGGCGCTGCTGTCGTTCGCCTTCCTGCTGAAGCTCCTCCTGGACATGGCAGCGCTGTCCCGGGTGAACATCCCGATGTACGGGGTGCTCAAGTCCGCCACCACGCCCTGCGTGCTGCTGCTCGACTACCTGCTGCGCGCCAAGCGCGCCTCCCTGCGCGTGCAGCTCTCCGTCTACATGACCGCGCTGGGAGGCGTCATAGCGGGCACGGGCGACCTCACCTTCGACCTGCCGGGGTACGTGCTGGCGCTGTCGTCCGCACTGGCGACAGCGGCGTACGTGGTGATAGTGGGGAAGCTGGGCGAGGAGCTGCAGCTGGACTCGTTCACGCTGCTGCTCTACAACAACTGCTGGTCGCTGCCCTTCTCCTTCCTCCTCCTCGCCCTCAACGGCGAGCTGCCCGCCGTGCAGAGAGTGCTGCAGTCACGAGACGCCATGTTCCTGACGTGCTTCGTGCTGTCGTGCGCCTCTGCCTTCGTGCTCAACCTCGCCACGTACCTCTGCACGCTCGTCAACGACAGCCTCACCACCAGCATCGTCGGTCAGTGCCCTGCCCCCTCGCCCGCCCTCCCTGCTCTTCCGCGCACTCTCGCACACGACATTGCTGCTTACCCGCTCCTGACTCTTCCCACAGTTGCTTCGCCAACGAGTGCCATGCGCTGTGCATACCCATGTCGACCTGTGTGCTGCTGTGTGCTGCGTCTCACCTCACCATGTCACTCTTTCCCCACGGCCCTGGCTGCATGCATGCAGGGCGCACCAAGTCCATCCTGCAGGGCCTGGGCGGCCTCTTTGCCTTCGGGGATGTGCTCGTGAGTGCCCTGCCCCGCCCCATGCCCCTGCCTTCCTGCTCTGTGCCATCCCCCACCCCACTTTCCACGCCCCTGCATGCACCTACCTTATCTCATCTCATGCCCCACTTGCTGCATCCCTTCCACCCACCACTGCCTTCTGCCCTCCACACACTGCACTTCTCTTCCCCCTCCTCTCCCAACCCCCTTCCACCTCCCCCCCTCCTCCCCCTCCTCCCCATCCCACCCGCAGATGAGCGCAACGAACGTGGTGGGGTTGCTGGTGAACAGCTTGGGCATCGGGTGGTATGCGGTCGAGAAGTATCTCGAGGCACGGCGCCGCTCGCACCACATACTCTCCCCGGGGCATGCCCGCGATGGCAAGGCCACCATCACCCGCGACGGCTCCCAGGTGCTCTGCCCTGCAGGGGGGAATGGGGGGAGGGGAGGGGTGGGGAGGGAGAAAGGGCATGGTGCAGGGAAGTGGGGTGCGGTTTGTAGGTTGGCTGTGGTGGTAGGGATGGTGGTGCATTGTCTGCACGGGCAGGTTGCCTCTCAGCCTCCTCTGCTCCAAGTGCACCACCTCCCTCCGTCCGTATATTCAATGTCCCTTTCTCCCCAACCTCTGTGTACATGCACTATCACATCATCACCATCCCCATCAGCTATCATTGGTGTTCAACGAGGTAAAGACAGAAGATGCCGACCAACCAGACCCCCGCAACGGCTCTGTGTGAGGGCTGCTCTGCACGCACCCTGTCTTTGCCGCCACCTTCTTGCACAACCTCCCAGTGAACGTAACTATGAAGGCCCACTTGCATCGCCTATATATCTGCTGCTGGATCGGGCCTGGTTGGATTGCCTAAGGGTCCTCTTGTGCAGGATAAATTGCAGGTCATTATTAATCCAACTGAGAATTATGAAAAAGGGAAATACATCCTAACACCTGCCTCTGCTCTACAATCCTATGGCAATGCAATGCTGTGGTGGGCCAAGCCACAAAGCCTTGTGTACAGAGCAGTTCCAGACATCCATACTCCGGCTCACGCCTTCCCACGCTTGCTCCTCTTCCTCGCCTCCGCACCACCGTCCACACCACCCGCCCTCTTGCCAGCACGGAGCGGTGCTGTTGAGTGGGGTGAGAGGTCGGAGAGGGCAAGGCACGTGAGGCGGGCAGTGGTGAGCACCTGGGAGAGGCACCCAGGGGGGAGTGCAGTGGGAGCGGTGGGTGCAGTGGCAGGTGCATGGATGGAGGAGGAGAGGGCGCGCAGGTCCCACAGGCGAATGCACCCATCCGATGCTGCTGATACAACCACATGCTCACTCCACTCAGCTGCTGCCCCATCACCACTGTGCCCTCTGCTCTCCCTCTTCTTCCTTTTCCGCCCTGCCACCCCTTCCTCCTTGCCACGCTTACCACCATCGATGCCACCTCCTTCCTCTCCTTTCCCTCTGTCCCCCTCTTCCTCCTCGCCCTCCCCGTCCTCCCCATCCTCCCCTCCTCCCCCCTCACTGCGCCAAGCGGTCAGACCTGCCTTGGCTGCGGCAGCCAGCTCGTTCCCCTCACCCCCACCCCCCCCTGCGCCCCCTTGTCGAGCTGCCAGCGCCCCCAGCACGCCGCGGATGCGAGCGCTGTGAGCGCCCGCCACACTCACGGCGGGGTACAGCGGAGGCTGGCGCACATCCCACACCTTCACTGCCCTCTCCTCGCCCCCCGTCACCACCGCGTGTGGCTGCGGGGGGCATACAGGCCAGGTCACACCGCAGAGCACATGGGGTCAAGCACGGGACATGGAGTCATGCATGGGACATGGGGTCATGCATGTGACATGGAGTCATGCATGTGTCATGGAGTCATGCATGTGTCATGAAGTCATGCATGTGACATGGAGTCATGTATGGGACATGGAGTCGTGTATGGGACATGAGGTCAGAAAATGGGAAATGAACACACCCAAGCAGAGCAAGGGATGAGAAACAAGAAACGAGACGAGCAGGGGCATTACAAAAAACGATGAGGGAGGGATGGGCAGCAAGAAATGCGATGCAGCACGGGAGAGGCAGGGCGGGCGAGCAGGCTGACAGTGAGGAAGGAGAGGGCGAGGCAGGAGGCGGGGTGGGGCAGCGTGGCAGTGAGCGAGGCGTCAGCAGAGCAGTGCACGGCCACGGCACCGCCCCTCAGCGCCAGCGCGTAGCAGGCGGCGTCCCCGGGCGAGTAGGTGAGGGCGAGGGGCTCGGCGGGCAGGCGCGTGCGGAAGGAGCAGCGCGCCTGCAGCAGGTTCCAGAGGCGCAGCTCCGCATCCCTCGCCACTGACAGCGCCACCCGCCCCGATGGATGCACTGCCCCCGTGCACGCGGGGGGGGGGGGGGGAGGAGGGGAGGCGGGGGAGACAGGGAGAGGCGAAGTAGGAAACGGGAGGAGGGAGAGCACATCCCAGCAACACAAAACAGACCACAGCAACGCACAGCAACCCATTGCAACCCACAACAACCCCTGACAACCCACAGCAACCCCCAGCACGCACCTGCGATGTCATTCACAGGCGCCTTGTGCCCTTTGAGGCTTGAAAGATGCCGCCATGTGGCGACCTCCCATAGGCTGATGGTGCGATCTTCACTGCCTGCGAGCAGGTGAGTGGGGCGACTCCCACTGCCGTGCAACTGCGGGGGGATGGGACGGGTGGCGGCAGGGGCGCATGACGGCATTCAGTGGGGAGGCTTGGAGGCAACGAAAGGGCAGCCACGAGGGCGCTGGGGCTAACACTCACAGCGAGGCACGAGACGGCGGCACTCACAGCGAGGCACGAAACAGCGGCGGTGTGGTGCAGCAGCGCGCCCATGTCGGTGCACGCGCGCAGGTCATACACACGCACGCTGTCGTCCGCCCCCCCGCTCACCGCCACCCCGCCCGCCGCCGCCACGCACTTGATGGGCCCCGTGTGCCCCCCGTAGCAGAACTGCTGTCGCAACGCCGCCTCCCCGGCCCCCTCGCCTTGCCCCTCCTGCTTTCTCTCCTCCCCCATACCTTCTCCCCTCTCCCCTCCCTCCCCGCCGCGCGCTGCTGGTTGCGATGCGCCCAGCCTGACGGGGGGACGAGAAACGAGTGCGCAAGCGCGCGTGGGGAGGGACTAGCAGGGTTTTGGGGAAGGCGGGTGGAGTGGGCAAACAACGGGTTCAGGCCGCACATGTGGGGCGGAAACGAATAGACACAGGTGGGTAGGGGCCGTTAGCTCGGGGGGCAGATAGAGAACCAGCCGCGCACGCGATTGCGTGGTTGGGGCGGAAGGCGGGGCGCGGCGTACGGGTGGGTGGGGAGGTGGAGGCGGAAGCCGAAGAGAAAGCGCTCGTACGACCCCGCGATGACCCGCAGCCCGCCGCTGCTGTCGCGATCCACATCACCTGCGCCATTCCGCATGGCTCAGGTGGACGGCCTGACAGTGAGGGCGGGGCGATTCCCGCCGTGAAGCAGTGTACAGGGCGACACGGGCTGTCGACGTAACAGATGGTGTCGAACAAGGAAACACAATGGCCCTGTTCGACAGGCTAACACCGACGGCCGCGGAATCCTCGCAGCTCGTTCGTTTTCACATTTTTTCACACGGTCAGCCCGTAAATTGCGCGAATGGGGCTTTAACCCCTGCTAACCTGTTGGCAGAGTGTTAGCCTGTCGAACGCACCCGATAATTGACCCCTTCACCCTCTCAGAAAGAACCGCGAGCCTTCCTGCACGGGCAAAGGTCTAGCCCTCGCCTAGCCTAACCCTCGCCCCCCAAAAGTGGGGTTTGCCAAAGGGCTCGCCAAGTGTTTGCAGTGGGGGGAACACCCACTCCGTGGACCCTAAAATAGGTCCTTTTGAACCAGTATGGGCGGAAAAATCTTCCATTCTGGGCCACGCTTTCTTGGGCCCAGTTCGGTAGGCATTATGGCCATTTCGCCATTATGGGCATTTTTTACGGGCCCCCAAAAAATGGCGCTTGGGCATTTCCAGAAACAACTTCGAAACTGGACTGTAGCTGCAGGGCACCTTCGGAAAAATGGTATTAGTGTTCGGTTGGCATTAATTGGGTGTAGATTGATGGCATCAATCGAGATTCCGGGTTTCGCAGAAGGTGTTTGAAAGTTGACTTGATGGAAAGCGTCCTCATGTGATTGGCTGGCATATTTGACCAGTCACTTTTGATTGCCCCGAATCACTGATACCCCGCATGGTGCGGGGCCTCGAGGCCGCATGGTGCGGCGGATCAGAAAATGGGCACTTTGCCAGAGAAACTGGGTACGTGGAAGATTCGGGCAGTTGAAAACGCCTGCAAAAAAAAGGGTGTTCGGGAGGCATTCCATTATTGTCTGGCTCGGCGATGATCCGTTTATATCGAGCCAAGATAACCCTTCACGCGCTTATCAAAGAAGGTTCCAGGCTGATCGGTTTACTGTAGCCCATCCGCCGAGGCCCTTTTTTTAATGCCTACCGAACTGGGCCTTGTAAGGCAAGCGATTTGTGGGGAAGGCCTTTTTATTTTCCGGCGATGTTACCCAGACCCCTTTGGAGAGCGGCCCAAACTTATTTACTGTGCCAGCCTAAAGGCAGGTTGAAGGGGGCGGGCAGCTTCGCCTTGTGGGCCCCGCTCCTTCTGACCCCTAATCACGAAGCTTCAGTCGTCGATCAGCTCGGAGAAGGTGCGGTGAACCCTCCTCTTAACACTAACCTAGACTCATATATATGTATTCATTCGCGAGCGCCGATGACCAATGATGCTCGCAACCCTCCCACGCCCTTGCAGGCTTGGCAATAGGCCAAGACAAGCGCAGCCACGCGACCCGGCGGAAGAAAAAACGCTCTGAACGAGCGCTTCCAGCCCCAAAACGCGGAAGGATCCGCGCATGTGTAGGAAGTCCAGCGGACGCTCTTCATTCGCGAGCGACAATGACCGATGATGCTTGCAACCCTCCCACGCCCTTGCTGGCTTGGCAATAGGCCCAGACAAGCGCAGCCACGTGACTCGGCGGAAGAAAAACGCTCGGAACGAGCGCTTCCAGCCCCAAAACGCGGAAGGATCCGCACATGTGCAGGAAGTGCAGCGGGCGCTCTTCATTCGCGAGCGCCGATGACCGATGATCCTAGCAACCCTCTCACGCCCTTGCTGGCTTGGCAATAGGCCCAGACAAGCGCGCGCGCGTGAAATTGAAATTCGCCATTTCAACGCGAAATTCAATTTCACGCCATTAGAACCCCTTCCCACTCATTTCGACCATATAAACCAGCCCCCCAAGCAAATTTGAATCCCCCCCAATCATATATGATGAGATGTGAAAATTTTTGTGAAGTCTTAGAATGGGGAAAATTTTATGGTACGTGGAAAATTTCACCTCATTGTGACATAGGTGCATGTTCCCCACCCTCCCCATGCCCCATAGAACTTTTTTTGGTCTGCCCGAACTTTTTTTGGCCTGCCCGGGTTTCCGTCTAATACTGCGTCTAATCTATACTGTCTAGCGTCTAGCGTCTTAAACACTGCGTCTAAGACGCTAGACGCGTCTTCCGCAACTAAGGGGATGGTATGGCATAGCGACTGACCGGGATGGTGGCGATGTCTTCCCCCTTGCTCCACTTATCATCCTTGCTGTACACCCACACCAGCCGGTGCTGCGTTTGAGTCGACTCAGAACCTGCCAAAAGCCACCTTCTAAGACGATCCACCAGTCACTTCAACTGACCGGAATGGTGGCGATGTCTTCCCCCTTGCTCCACTTGTCGTCCTTGCTGTACACCCACACCAGCCGGTGCTGCTTTTGAGTCGACGCAGAAGCTACCAAAAGCCACCTTGTGAGACGACCCACCAGCACTGCCACTGACCGGAATGGTGGCGAGGTCCTCGCCCTTGCTCCACTTGTCATCCTTGCTGTACACCCACACCAGCCGGTGCTGCTTTGAGTCGACTCAAGGTCACCATACCTTCTAAGCCAACCCTGAAGCCACTGCCACTGACCGGGATGGTGGCGAGGTCCTCGCCCTTGCTCCACTTGTCGTCCTTGCTGTACACCCACACCAGCCGGTGCTGCCCCGCCTCCACCGGGAACACCATCTCGCGCGGCTCAAACTGCCGCCATGCACAAGGGGGCGCACACACGCACAGCGAGAGGGAAGGGGTGGGCTAGAGTCGCACACTTGAGGTCGAGGGGCAGCGATGGGAGGGTGATCGGGGGGGGATAGGAGGGGGGCAACAAGTGGGGGGGAGACGACGACAGGTGAGCGCCATGGTGGTACCTGGTAGGAGGTGAGCGCCATGAGGGGCTGTGAGAGAGAGTCGATGTAGAAGGCGAGCCCATCGTGGCCCATCAACAGGAGGGGGACGACGAGAGGGGCGAGCTACGGTTGGGAGTGTTACCTACCTGGTAGGAGGTGAGCGCCATGAGGGGTACCTGGTAGGAGGTGAGGGCCATGAGAGGCTCTGAGAGAGAGTCGATGTAGAAGGCGAGCCCGTCGTGCCCCATCTCCGCACTCACTGTGAAGTTGAACTTCACGTACCTGCGCAGGGCGCAGGTGGGGAGGTATGAGGGGGTGCGGGGATGAGTCGTGACATTAACCTATTTTATCGTGCCCACCTTTGCACTCACTTTGAAGTTGAACCTCACGTACCTGTGCAGGGGGCGGGAGGGATGAGGGGGGGGAGAGTGAAAGGAGGGAGAGTGGAGGGGCGGTTAGCGGTACATACAAACGGGGGTTCTTACATCTAGCTGTTTTACCGTGCCCCATCTCCTCGCTCACTGTGAAGTTGAACCTCACATACCTGGAAGGGGGTTTGGATGGGGGAGAGGAAGGGGGTTGTGGGGAGAGGGTGAAAAGAGGGGAAGTGGGGGAGCAATTAGTGGTGCAGAGGGATGGTGGGGTCCATCTTTCGTTAACGTGCCATCCTCTTTGGTTTGCCCACCCGCTCGCCCCCCACCTACACATGCCCCTGCCTTGGCCCCTGTGTCCCACTGTCACTCACTCACTGCCGCATTGACGTCTCAAAAGACCCCTGTGAAGCAAGCAAGCACCACAGCGTGCCAGCCAGCCCAGCAGCGTCTCACCCGTCTCGCACGAGGTGCACGTCGAGGGAGAGCGAGGAGAGCAGGTTGTTGTGGCAGTTGTACGCCGGGTCCGATGCACACACCTCCTGGTGGGTGGCAGGTCAAGCAGGTTCGGAATGGACAGGGTTGGGAGTCAACGGTGGATGTGAGGGCAGAGTGCAAGGAGGGTGCAGGGGAAGGCAGAAAGCATCAACACGAGAGGTGGCAGAGCATGTGTGTGGGTGAAATAACCGCACACAGCTTAGGCAGAGCCAAGGAGGGAGCAGGGGAGGGGGGGGGATAACTGGGAGGCAGTCAGTAATGCAGCCATATGCCCCCGCCTCAAGCTCCTTAGGTGCGTCCTAAAGCCATCTCACCGGCAGCCAGTCGTTGATGTAGTCGTATGCGCCCGCCTCAAACGCTCCATCATCCGCATACCAGCTGTGCAGCAGGCAGGGAAGGGGACATGCAGCCACGCACAGAGGCGAGACTGAGGGATTGTGAAGGAGGCAGGCGAGGAGTATTCAGGGGCACACAGGGCCACACAGGGTGAGGAGTTTGTGCAGGCAGAAAGGAAGGGCGGGGATGAAATGGTTCAACAGGCAAGAGCGGAATGTAGTGAAACACAAACTCCACAACCTGAAGGCGGAGAAGCAGAGCTGGGGGGGATTGCACGGAGAAAGAGCATGGAGGAGCGAGGGGGTTTCATGGGTGGAAGTGGGCAGCAAGGGTGGTAGGGGGAAGAAACGGCGGAAGGGGGCAGCATGGGCGGAGAGAGGAGCAACGTACGGGTCGCAGTCAAAGGTGCCAGAGGCGTTGGTGAACCTGCACTCCGTCTGAGGGGAGTAGGATGGGAGGGTGGTGGGGATGCCACAGGCGTGCACAACTGAAGGCTGGACGAGAATCGACTGGGACTACCTGAGAGGTGATCATATATGCGCCCACCAGTGAACAGCATGAGCGCGCACACTACACGAACAGCATGATGCTGGTATCAGCAATTCTGCATGTCACGTCATGCATGTGTGCTCGCCTCCATGCAATACCATGCACGCACGGCGCACCTTGAAGTATCGCGGGTCGATCTCAGATATGTCTTGGAACCGCCACTTCCCCCCCATGCTGTACGTGCCTGGTGTGAGGAACACACAGGAGGGTGGAAGGGTGGGTGTGGCACGTGAGAGGAAGAGAGCGAGCAAGCACCTTGAACTGCACCTGCTCCTCACGCCCCTTCCTCCCGTTAAACTAACTCACAAGGCAGCGCTTCTCCCTGCTTGTCCTTCCCCTCCCCTCTCCCCCTCACCCCACTCCACTCCACCTTCCCTCCCAGCAGGAGTGGGAGGGAGCGACGCACCTGGGGCACTTGTGGCAATGGTCCTGGTGCAAGTAGTGCCCCGCCCCGCACTGCATGTCTGCCACACGTGCAGAGGATGGGGGGTGAGGGGGGAGAGGGGAGTGGGGTTGTGTGGGGAAGAGGGGGGGAGAGTGGGCGCACGAGCATTCGTATGCTACTTTGGCCATACTTGGAATGGTGAGTCAATCAACAAGGACCGAAAGAGTGTAGCGCGGGTGACGAGGCGAGTGAGGCTGGTGAGCAGTTTGAGGTGGGGTGGGTGGTAACAGCTTCAGCATAGGTGAGGTGGTGGCAGAACTGGGGTAGGTGTGCGAGGGAGGGTGGGTATAAGAGTGGGGGGTGGGGGCCATACCACAGGGAATGAAGGTGGTGGGGGGCAGGTGAATGGAGCCTCGTTTGTAGGGGTCGCACTCCTGGCGGAAGAAATATATCACCTGATTACGTGCATGAAGAGAGGGGGAGGGGATGGGGAAAGGAAGAATGGTAGGACAAGGGGGCACGTGGTGCATATCAGGAGGGAGAATGGGGCATGAGATGAGAAGAGGTGGGAGGGGGACGTGAATGAAATGGAGAGCAAGAGGAACAGAGCGAGCAGAGACGAGCACGTGGGAAGGAGGAGCACCCCAGGGTGCACGGTGCACCTCCCCCAGCGTGCAGCTCCCCCAGCGTGCAGCTCCCCCAGCGTGCAGCTCCCCCAGGGTGCACCTCAACGAAGCGCGTGGCAGAGATGTTGAGGCCGGTGAGCGAGTCACGGATGAAGTCACAGTCGGAGTAGATGGCGTCCACGTGGGCCTCCGTGCACGGCGCATTCGGTAAACCTGTGTGGCGTGGCATGGCATGCATGTGGTGCATGGAGCCATCGCATCTGGGTGCGTGCGAGTTGCACTTGAATCGGAGTGGTGGTGTGACATGCATGCAGCATTTGTGTTGGAGCAGAGACGCTGACTGACAGGGAGAAGAAGATATTCAAATTGGAGAAAAGCGAGGTGATGGGAGAGATGGGGAGGGCGGGGAGGAGCGGAGGAGGAGGAGCACTGACCACAGTAGACCTTATCCACTGGGATGAGCTGTGACTGCTGTGCTCCCGTGCAGTCTGGCGAGGCAGCACATGAGTATGGCAGGGGAGAGTGACAGGGATAGGGAAGAGGATCACGAGGTTAACCTTGGTGGGAGATTAAGAGGAGGGCGTCAGGAGGAGTACAAAGTGGTAAGTACGCGCTGTGTGCTGCAGGGTGCATGGTGCAGAGCAGACTCACTGCCTGGCGGGTACTGCATGTTGCAGGTGGCACCATCACGAGAGGCCGTGTAGACGACATCAAAGTCCTCCGGCGTGCATGCTGCCAGGCAGGGGCACACGGGGCGATGGGTGGATCAGCATGGGATGGGGGGGATGTGGGTTGATCAGCATGTGATGGGGGGGATGTGGGTTGATCAGCATGTGATGGGGGGGATGTGGGTTGATCAGCTAGAAACGGGGAAGATGGGGATGACCAAGCAAGAAGGCCGGAAATGGATGAATGGGTTGAGCCCATTGTGCCTTGACTTGACTTTGTCTGTGCACATGGCATCGTTCACACCACCACGCTCTTCTGTTGCGCTCACTGCAAGGCAAGGCTCTTGTTGCACTCACTGCACGGCTCCTGTTGCGAGGGCTGCACGGGGAACGGATCGGTGCAGTTGCGCGCCTTCAGAAACGACACTGTGCGCCGCCCCTTGCCTGCACTCCGCACGGCAAGGTACGGGGGGAGAGGGAGACGGGGAGGAAGGGGAAGGCGGAGGAGGGGACAGCCGCTAAGAGTTTGTGGGGGGACAGGCGGATACAGTGAGGGTGATGGCGAGCTTTGTGTGTTTAAATTCTTCGTAAAAACGCCCAAGAAGCAGCGAGTGGTAACAGCGAATTGGATATGTGTGGCTGGTTAGGGAGAGGGGGCACACAGACATCATGCTGGTTACAACTGAGCTCGCCAGCCACATTTCGCGAGGCGAACACAAGCCAGCCTCTCGTTAGAAGAACGCTGCTCACTGTCACATGCGCCCGACTGCCTGATGTAGTCCGTCAGCCCGCATGTCGTCGACAGCTGCTCCGCCTCCTCGCGCGACGCTTCCGCGTCCCCCTTCTCTTGCGCCGGCGCTCCGCTTACGCTTTCTCCCCCCGCAGGGGAAGGCGGAGGCGCAGCTTCCGGGGAAGCAGGCGCAGCGGGTGCATTATTCCGCGCATCGCTGCTCGGCGCTGTCCCGATTCCAGCAGGCGGAGCCTGTGGGGGAGCCGACAGCTGCGGAGGCTGCTGCGCCGGTGGCTCCGCGAATGGCTGGGATGGCGGCGCGTTTGCAGCGCTGACAGATTGTCGATCATTCATGGACGGCAGGGATTCAGCCGGAGAATGTGCGAACAAGTCGGCCTGCACTGACGGCGATGCTCGTGATCGAGCCTGGTTGGACGGTCGCTGATCGACAGATGACGGGGAGGTTGCATTAATTCTAGGCTTTGAGCCTGGGATGGCTTGTGACTGCTGCGGCAATCCCGAAGGTTGCCCGCTTGGAGGATCATTGGCCAGTGAAGGCGGAATGTACACCAGTAAAATTGCTAAAACGGCCGTAACCGTGACCCCATGAGCCATTGGCAAAGTTACACGCCAGCAATGCTAATGCCTTCTTCACGAACCAGTCGTGCCCCTAGACTGACAATGTAGGGAATAATGCTATCTGTTCACTGAACATCCGTCAGGGTGGGATGATATCAAGGAGACCAGGTAATGCTGGTTCATGCCATCGAAAGGTAGTTGTGCAAGATAGTGGTGCTCGCAAAATTTAGTAACTGCATCTCGCAACCAATAGAATTGTGTCGCTGGCGCAGTCGTTCTTCAGAAGCCATGCCCCCCCTCAAACCTCGCGCTTCGCTGTTGTTGAAAGCCTGCAGGCAGCTGGATTGGATGTTGAAAAGGTGGTCAGGTTATAAGCCGTTTCAGCGCTGATTCAGGTTTACTGCTGTAATAAATGCTTCATACTTTTGTATCATTCGAATGACAGTATACTATGTTCTCCCAGGTTAAGATATATTCTTACATAATTTCCCTGAAAATAAATAATATACGACATATAGTTGACCAGAAAAACAATCAACATAGGTGCATATTGCAAAATTGATGTATTTCAGTTGAGCATAGTTGGTGTTCTACACATTTTTCAGGATTGCCACAATTTGAAACTCCAGCACTCGCGCCGCCGTCGGGAACGGGGAAATGGGCAAAAGCAGAGTCAAGCCGCGTCTTTGCAAAATGACCGTTCCAAATGTTCGGTCCTCTTCAATTCCTCCCGTTGCCTTGCCCCCACAAATCCCCAGTCCCACCCACCAACACGGTCCACCCCCCATACACCCCCCACCCCCAAAGCCTTCGAATCCCCTTCCTCATCCCACGTTGTCTGTTTCAGTTTCCCATTTTGACGACATAGAGAACCCGTTCGCGTGACGCATGTGCAATCCCTTTGTCCATCGAGCACTTTGGAGACTCCAAGACTTGGCACTTTCAGGATCACATCTAGTGTAGATTAGCCATTTGACATGCGCCTTCTGCAACCCCCTTGGCACGCTTTCCATCACAATGGCGGTAGGCAGTGGACGTATACTACAGGAGAGCATATCCGAATATGACGTGCTAACGTCGTCTCCACCTAAAACCGTTTTGAATTTTATCCACGCAGAGCACGATGCGGCGTCTAGCTCCGTGTCGCCTCTATCCATGTCGCTATCGCTGTCGGGAACTTTCAGCTGCGACAGTTCGCGCTTCAGCTGCGACGGCGCGCCCGACGACACGGGCTGGGAGAGCCCCTCGGATTGCGGCGGCGATGCGGTCTTCGGCGCGCAGTACGGCGACCGCCCCGCCAGCCGCAGGCGGAGCTTCGCAGGCGCGGGCACGAACCTCTCGATCGGACGGCTGTCGGATGGGCATTTGAGCCTGGAGCGCGGGTGCAAGTCGGCGACAGTGTCGCGCGTTAGCAGCCGCCTGCTGGCCCCCACGCAGTCGTCGCAAGCCAAGTCGCGTTCTCTCGCCCATCGGCACGCAGCGGAGGACGGTGGGTCGGTGGGGCGCGAACCGTTCAGCACCTCGTCGCAGCCGCGGAGGACCAAAGCTGGCGGGACAGCAGCAGGAACGGCCCGCGGAACGGCCGCAGCAGCAAGCACAAACGAGCGTGTGCATCCGCTTGTTTGTAGCCCACCTCGCGGAAAAGTTTCTGTGGAAAAATCGGCACAAAACGCGGCGAAAGGCGGGCAGCGCGGGCAGGGGCGGCGAATGTCGGACGCGAGTGAGAATCTGGCGCTCAAGCTGGCCAAGCACCGACAGGGGCTGGGGGTGGTGGGCACCGGAGGTTCCAAGACGGGTGCTGGTGGCGCCGCTGTCGCTCCTCAGGTGCCACGTGGCGGGAGGGTGGGATCTCGAGGGGGGGCTGCGGCTCCGCCCGGGTCCCGCAATGCGCTGGCGGCGGACAGGAAGCCTCTGGTCGCGGGATCTGCGGGGAATGTTGCGCAGAGCCGCGTTGCGGCGGGGGAAGTGAAGCCCCGACAGCGCCTGGCGGACGGGAAAGGCACGCCTGGTGGTAGCGGCGGACGAATCTCCGCGCATGGCGCACCGGACGGGGGAAAGGGGCTGCGGGGACACAGTGCGGGGGGATCAGGGAGCGGTAGGGGGAATAACGAAAAGCGGGTAGTGGGGACAATCGGGATGGGGAACGGTGGGAGGGGCGTGAGCGCAGAGCAGACGACGAAGGAGCGTAATGAAGGGAAAGAGGCAGCCCGGCACACAGACCCGTCGCGAGGGACGAGGGGCAGTGCAAGGCGGGTAGCTGCGCAAGGCTTGGGAAGCAGCTGCGGCGCAAAAGGCCCACGTGGATGCGATCAGAGTGGCACGGAGGATGGGTCTGCGCCCCACACGACACTCCACACTGCACCCCGCGCGCAACATACTCCTTCCCACCAACACCCAACTCCTCCTCCACCTCCGTCTGATCAATTGCCTTTGGTCACCCAGCCAACTGATAACCAGTCCATCAGCCAAACCAACTTCACCCTCCCGCCCAGCCTCCTGCTCCTCCCGCTCACCTTCCCCTCCCCCAGCCCCTCCTCCGCGGGGTCCGCGGACGACGCGGACATGCCGTGGGCGGAGCTGATATGCGACGTGCGCGGCATGGAGCAGGACGTGCAGTACGTGCGGCACGCCATGCTCGCCGCTGGCTTCCTCTCCGACGCCCTCCCGCCGCTCTTCTCCCCGTACCTCCCCATCAACCCCGCCTTCTTCCAGCACCTCGAATCCGCCTTCCTCATGCGCTGCTACGCGCACGCCACGCACGACCCGTCTCACCTGACTGCCAGCCTGCCCTCCCTCCCTCTCGCCATACCCGCGTCATACCACGAGGAGCGCCGGCAGCGCATGCTGCTCTTTGACGCCGTCAACGAGGCCCTTGGCCGCCGCCTCGCGCCTTTCCTCCCGCGCGCGCCGTGGTCCCCCGCGCTCGTGCAAGTGGCGCCGCGCAGGCGGCCTGTGGGCATGGAGCTGGTGCAGGAGGTGTGGTCGGAGATTCACTCATGGCCCGTGGCGTCGACTGATGAGGTGTACACTGTACTGGATGAGTCAGCGAGGCGTGACCTGTGGAGGGGCACGGAGAGGTGGCGTGCACAGGATGTAGCGGAGGAAGAGCCGGGTGTTGTGTTTGGTGTGGAAGGGAGGCTGCTGGAGGAGCTGCTAGAGGAGGTGTGCTTGGAGTTTGTGGAGGTGGAGTGGAGCAAAGGCGGGCGAGTAAGAGGATGTCGGTGCATGGGGTGGTGAAGGCACATATTACATCGTCGGGCTTTGTCTGTGCGGCTCATGTGAAGGGATCTGGAAGGGATGGAGTGGTGGCACTACTTGGCCCTGCTTGTCCAACTGCTGTCAGCAAGAACCTACTTCGGCTTCCAAGGATGTGATGAGCTGCAGAGAGGGAATAGATTGTGTTTATAAAGTTACAAACCTAGTGTCAGTTTTGCCGCTTTGCTTTTTGTTGCTGCTGCTACTATTATATTGGTAGAATAACATTGGCACTTCATGTTCTATATAAGCTTCAGTTTTAGGGAAAATATGCGAATGGTAACATACATGGGGCTTTATAACACGTACGGTAACCATAACAATGAATTTTCACGCGTTTGGTAACTCGATTCACGCGTTTGGTAACTATACACTGGCAAGCCATCACGCGAATGGTAACTAGAAGAAACCCTCGTCCAACTTGACCCTGATTCTGGTTTTTCCCGCTCGCGCCAGACTGAATTGACGAGTCCTGAAGCACGAAATTCTGACACACTTTCCGAAATTCTGACACACTTTCCGAAATTCTGACACACTTTCCGAAATTCGGACTATTTTGTAAACAGTTGCTGTTTTGAAAACCGTTTCTCATATAACGCTGATATTCTGGCGCTCGCGGAAAACTGATTTTACTTAATTCTATCGAACAACCGGGGCAAAAAATATATACCCCTTTCGGATGGCAAATGATTTTGAGAGCATCAACCCTAAACTCCTTGCGACAGGGCGTTCAATGCTATTTCTACAATAAAGGCATGCCATTCGGAAGGATGTATTATTTTCTCACCTCCAAAATTATCCCACGCTGCACTAATCACACATTTATTTTTTATAAAAGTATTGTCGCTTTTCCGGGAAAATTTCATCATTTTGCAATTATGCAATCATGCTTGCAAGAATATTATTGTACTTGTTAGTACTATATTTCAGAGCTTAAAATAGATATGAAACGGCTCTGAAACTATTTGGTCCGTGGTAATTGAACAAACGCGATCCTTCAAAGTCACGGCGGGAATCGTTCAAGATCGATTAAACGGTGCGTGAAATATTTCAATTTAACAAATTCCTCTTAGTCAGGATCATTTCGGCAGGAGTTTCATCTAGTTACCATTCGCGTGATCATTCGCCTGTGCTAAGTTACCAATTGCGTGAAACGAGTTACCAAACGCGTGAAAATGCACTGTAATAGTTACTGTACGCGTTAAAGAGCCCCATGTATGTTACCATTGACATACTTTCCCTCAGTTTTATTGTCTCCCTTGCACTACATAGGAAACTCCTAGGTAAGAAATGATCATGGGAAGACTCGTCTGCAGGATAAAGTGAATACTGTAGAGAAACTCGGCTACGAATGTTAATGAACTGTACCCAGAGGAGTTCAAGCAGACCCGCCGTAGTCCCCAAACGAATATTCCCAAGACAATCTGCTACATCTCGAGAATGCCGACGGATTCAGGCAACTCGAATTTCTCCAATTGCTGCTACTCCAGTCATTGCTCAGCCTCTCAATGTTCGTGTTGAGCTTCCTCGTAACTACACGTAGTCCTCCGGAATAAATAGTATATTACCGCACTCGCCACGCTCTTCGCGACCTCGCATCGCATGTGACCGACGTGCTGCGTGCTCCGTTGGACTGAATCTCTATTTTCCTAGGCCACCACCAGCACCATCAGCCATTGCGTTATTGGTCGAAATCCTCCTGTTATCGCCTACATTGCAACTACCATTCTGATATGTAAAGACGGCCGCTTTGACGCTTTCACTAGGACCTACTAGCCGCAAGTTCCCGCTCTCGTCGGAGTCATGGCGGAGAAGGAGCAAGACGCGTCGACGAGTCCTCCCTCTGCCGTGCAGCCAGCACCAGACGTCGCGAATTCCCCGCCGTCAGCCTCCGAGTCTCCCGAGGCGGCCGGCTCGGGATGGGTGCGGTTAGTGCACGTGGAGATCGCAGGCGCGCGGAAGCTTCTGCCCAAGGACGGCGCCTCCTCCAGTCCCTTCTGCGTCGTGCGTGCCAACTGCGTTGCCGCTGCGGCTGACGATCCTTCAATTGCTTGCATGGAGCTTACCACATGACGCGCCAGTGGTCGCGTATTCACTGTCTATACCCTGTTCATGTCGTGTGATGGCATGGTACGACATGGTACGACGCAAAGGCACGGCATGGCACGGATTTGCATGGCTTGTCATGGCACGGCATTACATGGCATGGAATGGCATGGCATGGCACGGCATTACGTGGCATGGAATGGCATGGCATGGCATGGCATGACATCGCATGGCATGATGGTGGGTGGCAGGTGGAGTTCAACGGTCACACGAAGCGCACGCACACAGTGGAGAGGGACCTCAACCCCGTGTGGGATGAGAAGGTGCGATAGGGGAGATGAATGCCCACACACTGGGGTTATTGCCCTTAATGCTCCTCCACTCCCTGTCCTCGCAAGTCACGTGACTCATTGCATTCACCATTTGAGTGGCCCACCTAATACAACATTAATGTTTAGTAGAATTTTGAGTCAACACCTAGCTTGCTGGGCTGCAAAGGGTTGAACCCATGAATACCTTCCCAGTCGCTATCCTCTCCCCGTTCTTCTCTAATTCCTCACTCCCCTCGCTCCCCTCCTCTTCCGCTCCCCAAACCCAGTTCGTGTTTGCAGTCCCCATCCCTTCACCCCTCAACCCCGCACTGGCCGACCACCAAGAGCTGGTCCACGTCACCATCTACACCCTCTCCTCTGCCGCCGCCCCTCTCGTTGCGGCCGGCAGTATCTCGGCCAGCTTTCGCCGCCCGGTGCTGGGCTCCGCCCCTAGTGGGGGGGCGCCAGGCGATCCGGAGAGAAGCGTGTTTCTGGGGAAGGTGCAGGTGAGCGGTGGAGGGGGAAGGTGCAGGTGAGCGGTGGAGGGGGAAGGTGCAGGTGAGCGGTGGAGGGGGAAGGTGCAGGTGAGCGGTGGAGGGGGAAGGTGCAGGTGAGCGGTGGAGGGGGAAGGTGCAGGTGAGCGGTGGAGGGGGAAGGTGCAGGTGAGCGGTGGAGGGGGAAGGTGCAGGTGAGCGGTGGAGGGGGAGGGAGGTGGCACTTGATAACTTGAAGGGGGGAGGTGAAGGTGAGAGCTGCCCCATTCTTGTTATCTGCCCCAGCAACTGTCGTCTCCTCGTCACTCACACACACTGCCTCCTGCCCGCCTACCTTGCCCCTCGTCTTCACACACACGCGCGCGCGCGCGCACACACACACAAGTCCTCGTCTGGCCCCATCGCCAGCTTTGCCTGCCATCTCTCTCCCTTCCCTCTGCCCATGCCCCTCTCAATATCCCCACGCTCCACTGCCCCTCCAGGTGCCCGTCCGCATACATGCCCCTGCGCCCGGTATCCCTCTCCACCCCTCCGCACCCCTCGACTGGCTGCCTCTCGAGCGCCGCTCCCTTGTCAATCGCGTGCGGGGCGACCTGGGGTGAGATGGTGGAAGGGGAGGGGAGGGAGTGGGGGTTGAGGGAGTGGAGGAAAGGGGGTTGGGAGGTTGAATGCGCAGGGCGACCTGGGTGAGATGAGGGGGGAAAAGGAGGGAGGAGGGAGCAGGGGGTGGGATGGGGGGGAGGGGAAAGGTTGAATGCAATCCGCTCACCACTCTCCACTTCGCCCGCACATCCGTTCCTGTCCCTCTCTCCCCACCCCATGCTCCACTCCCCCCCCCCCCCCTCCCCTCTCACCCTGGCCGTGTCCTACCAGGACGTGCGAGCCTCATCCATCTCCCTCCCCCATGCTCCACCCAATCCCCTGATCCATTTCTCCCCCCCTCCCGCTCGGTCCACCCCCACACCCCATGCTCCACCCTCCCCCACCACCCCCCAGCCTGGCAGTGTCCTACCAGGACGTGCCAGCCTCATCTGTCAACCCCGACTGCCTCGACGAGTTCGACCAATGCGAGGCCGACAGGTGGCACCTCCCGCCGTCCGCGTCCACGTCATCCTTTTCCGACGATGAAAACCTGCCCACAGCCCTGTCCCACCAGCTCTCCAGACACAGCAGCCGCAATGCTGCCTCACATTCCTCCAATCCTCCCCCCACCCTTCCCCCTCCCCCCGCTCCCCCCACACTCCCCACTCTCCCCACACTCCCCACTCTCCCCCTTCTCCCCACGTTCCCCTCTCTCTATGCCTCCACCCCCCTTTGCACCATCGTTTCTTCTGACGAGTCTTCCCCCCAGCCTGTTTCACCCTCCTCCACCGCCCTCTCCCCACTGCTTCCCCCCGCCTCTGCTCACGGCAATGCACAACGCCATGCCACCGTGCCTGCTGAGAAAGCGGGGGCAAAGGGCGAGGCATATGAAGGAAAGGGTGAGGGGGAGGGGGAAGGGGAGGGAGAGGGGGAAGGGGAGGGAGAGGAGGGGGAGGACGAGGTGTTGTTGGCAATGGAGCCGATTCTGTTTGTGCGCGTGGTGCAGGCGCGCTCACTGCTAGGGCTCGATCTCAATGCCTCCAGTGACCCCGTGAGTGTGCTGCCCTCATGCGATTTATTGTGGTACGATCTGATTCTGCCCCACTGCACCTGCGGACTGCTCCTCTTTCCATGCTTCCATTCCAATGCTTCTTCACTCCATTATGCCCTCCTTTTTCACCTTGGCCTCACGTCCCCCTTCTCGACCTGTTCTCACCATATGTTCTTTCGTCCCTTCTCACAACCCGTTCGTTCGTCCCAGCCTCCATGTGTGCATGTGTGTCATTTTGCAGTGGTGACAGTGAGTCATGCGTGCTCACCTCCCACACCCCTCTCACCATTTCCTTTCCCCTGCCTCCATGTGCACGTGCATGTCAGTTCGCGATGGTGACGGTGGGCAAGGTCACAGCCCGCACTCGCACCGTCCCTGATGACGTCAACCCCAAGTGGAACCAGGTCTCTCTTCTCTCTCTTCCCCGCCCCTTATGTTGAGGCACCTCCAAAGTCGTCTCATCTCGTCTGACGTACATGACGTCAACCCAACCAAATGGAACCAGGTCACCCGCTCTACTCTCTCTCGTCACTCCGCTTTTCCACTGCTCCCTTCTTGCAACTCAATGTGCCTCGTCCAACCCTTGCACCTCTCCCCATTTCCCCATGCCGTCCTTCCCCATGCCGTCCTTCCCCATGCCGTCCTTCCCCATGCCGTCCTTCCCCATGCCGTCCTTCCCCATGCCGTCCTTCCCCATGCCGTCCTTCCCCATGCCGTCCTTCCCCATGCCGTCCTTCCCCGCTCCTCTCTGCCCCTGCAGGTCTTTGCAATCGGCCAGTCCGCCACGTCTTTCTCGCTCGCCAATCCCGCCTCCACGCTCGAGATAGTGCTCAAGAACGAGGTGCGTATCTGTGTGTGTGTGTGTGTGTGTGTGTGTGTGTGCGCGCGCGCGCGCGCGCGCGCGCGCTCGCGCTCTTGAACAAGGTGTGTATGTGTATCTGTGTGTGCGTGCCCTAGAGGGAGGGGAGTGCACATGTGCGTGCGGGCGAGCTTCACACCTCTGGCGTTGTCACCACGCATCCGCTCTTTCCATCTCTCGCTGCACCTACAATCCTCTCTTGCGCCTCGTTTCTTTCAAACCTTCGCCTTCATTTCCATCCCATCCCTCCATGCTCCTCAATCCCATCCCTCCATGCTCCTCAATCCCATCCCTCCATGCTCCTCAATCCCATCCCTCCATGCTCCTCAATCCCATCCCTCCATGCTCCTCAATCCCATCCCTCCATGCTCCTCAATCCCATCCCTCCATGCTCCTCAATCCCATCCCTCCATGCTCCTCAATCCCATCCCTCCATGCTCCTCAATCCCATCCCTCCATGCTCCTCAATCCCATCCCTCCATGCTCCTCAATCCCATCCCTCCATGCTCCTCAATCCCATCCCTCCATGCTCCTCAATCCCATCCCTCCATGCTCCTCAATCCCATCCCTCCATGCTCCTCAATCCCATCCCTCCATGCTCCTCAATCCCATCCCTCCATGCTCCTCAATCCCATCCCTCCATGCTCCTCAATCCCATCCCTCCATGCTCCTCAATCCCATCCCTCCATGCTCCTCAATCCCATCCCTCCATGCTCCTCAATCCCATCCCTCCATGCTCCTCAATCCCATCCCTCCATGCTCCTCAATCCCATCCCTCCATGCTCCTCAATCCCATCCCTCCATGCTCCTCAATCCCATCCCTCCATGCTCCTCAATCCCATCCCTCCATGCTCCTCAATCCCATCCCTCCATGCTCCTCAATCCCATCCCTCCATGCTCCTCAATCCCATCCCTCCATGCTCCTCAATCCCATCCCTCCATGCTCCTCAATCCCATCCCTCCATGCTCCTCAATCCCATCCCTCCATGCTCCTCAATCCCATCCCTCCATGCTCCTCAATCCCATCCCTCCATGCTCCTCAATCCCATCCCTCCATGCTCCTCAATCCCATCCCTCCATGCTCCTCAATCCCATCCCTCCATGCTCCTCAATCCCATCCCTCCATGCTCCTCAATCCCATCCCTCCATGCTCCTCAATCCCATCCCTCCATGCTCCTCAATCCCATCCCTCCATGCTCCTCAATCCCATCCCTCCATGCTCCTCAATCCCATCCCTCCATGCTCCTCAATCCCATCCCTCCATGCTCCTCAATCCCATCCCTCCATGCTCCTCAATCCCATCCCTCCATGCTCCTCAATCCCATCCCTCCATGCTCCTCAATCCCATCCCTCCATGCTCCTCAATCCCATCCCTCCATGCTCCTCAATCCCATCCCTCCATGCTCCTCAATCCCATCCCTCCATGCTCCTCAATCCCATCCCTCCATGCTCCTCAATCCCATCCCTCCATGCTCCTCAATCCCATCCCTCCATGCTCCTCAATCCCATCCCTCCATGCTCCTCAATCCCATCCCTCCATGCTCCTCAATCCCATCCCTCCATGCTCCTCAATCCCATCCCTCCATGCTCCTCAATCCCATCCCTCCATGCTCCTCAATCCCATCCCTCCATGCTCCTCAATCCCATCCCTCCATGCTCCTCAATCCCATCCCTCCATGCTCCTCAATCCCATCCCTCCATGCTCCTCAATCCCATCCCTCCATGCTCCTCAATCCCATCCCTCCATGCTCCTCAATCCCATCCCTCCATGCTCCTCAATCCCATCCCTCCATGCTCCTCAATCCCATCCCTCCATGCTCCTCAATCCCATCCCTCCATGCTCCTCAATCCCATCCCTCCATGCTCCTCAATCCCATCCCTCCATGCTCCTCAATCCCATCCCTCCATGCTCCTCAATCCCATCCCTCCATGCTCCTCAATCCCATCCCTCCATGCTCCTCAATCCCATCCCTCCATGCTCCTCAATCCCATCCCTCCATGCTCCTCAATCCCATCCCTCCATGCTCCTCAATCCCATCCCTCCATGCTCCTCAATCCCATCCCTCCATGCTCCTCAATCCCATCCCTCCATGCTCCTCAATCCCATCCCTCCATGCTCCTCAATCCCATCCCTCCATGCTCCTCAATCCCATCCCTCCATGCTCCTCAATCCCATCCCTCCATGCTCCTCAATCCCATCCCTCCATGCTCCTCAATCCCATGCTCCTCATCCCTCCATGCTCCTCAATCCCATCCCTCCATGCTCCTCAATCCCATCCCTCCATGCTCCTCAATCCCATCCCTCCATGCTCCTCAATCCCATCCCTCCATGCTCCTCAATCCCATCCCTCCATGCTCCTCAATCCCATCCCTCCATGCTCCTCAATCCCATCCCTCCATGCTCCTCAATCCCATCCCTCCATGCTCCTCAATCCCATCCCTCCATGCTCCTCAATCCCATCCCTCCATGCTCCTCAATCCCATCCCTCCATGCTCCTCAATCCCATCCCTCCATGCTCCTCAATCCCATCCCTCCATGCTCCTCAATCCCATCCCTCCATGCTCCTCAATCCCATCCCTCCATGCTCCTCAATCCCATCCCTCCATGCTCCTCAATCCCATCCCTCCATGCTCCTCAATCCCATCCCTCCATGCTCCTCAATCCCATCCCTCCATGCTCCTCAATCCCATCCCTCCATGCTCCTCAATCCCATCCCTCCATGCTCCTCAATCCCATCCCTCCATGCTCCTCAATCCCATCCCTCCATGCTCCTCAATCCCATCCCTCCATGCTCCTCAATCCCATCCCTCCATGCTCCTCAATCCCATCCCTCCATGCTCCTCAATCCCATCCCTCCATGCTCCTCAATCCCATCCCTCCATGCTCCTCAATCCCATCCCTCCATGCTCCTCAATCCCATCCCTCCATGCTCCTCAATCCCATCCCTCCATGCTCCTCAATCCCATCCCTCCATGCTCCTCAATCCCATCCCTCCATGCTCCTCAATCCCATCCCTCCATGCTCCTCAATCCCATCCCTCCATGCTCCTCAATCCCATCCCTCCATGCTCCTCAATCCCATCCCTCCATGCTCCTCAATCCCATCCCTCCATGCTCCTCAATCCCATCCCTCCATGCTCCTCAATCCCATCCCTCCATGCTCCTCAATCCCATCCCTCCATGCTCCTCAATCCCATCCCTCCATGCTCCTCAATCCCATCCCTCCATGCTCCTCAATCCCATCCCTCCATGCTCCTCAATCCCATCCCTCCATGCTCCTCAATCCCATCCCTCCATGCTCCTCAATCCCATCCCTCCATGCTCCTCAATCCCATCCCTCCATGCTCCTCAATCCCATCCCTCCATGCTCCTCAATCCCATCCCTCCATGCTCCTCAATCCCATCCCTCCATGCTCCTCAATCCCATCCCTCCATGCTCCTCAATCCCATCCCTCCATGCTCCTCAATCCCATCCCTCCATGCTCCTCAATCCCATCCCTCCATGCTCCTCAATCCCATCCCTCCATGCTCCTCAATCCCATCCCTCCATGCTCCTCAATCCCATCCCTCCATGCTCCTCAATCCCATCCCTCCATGCTCCTCAATCCCATCCCTCCATGCTCCTCAATCCCATCCCTCCATGCTCCTCAATCCCATCCCTCCATGCTCCTCAATCCATCCCTCCATGCTCCTCAATCCCATCCCTCCATGCTCCTCAATCCCATCCCTCCATGCTCCTCAATCCCATCCCTCCATGCTCCTCAATCCCATCCCTCCATGCTCCTCAATCCCATCCCTCCATGCTCCTCAATCCCATCCCTCCATGCTCCTCAATCCCATCCCTCCATGCTCCTCAATCCCATCCCTCCATGCTCCTCAATCCCATCCCTCCATGCTCCTCAATCCCATCCCTCCATGCTCCTCAATCCCATCCCTCCATGCTCCTCAATCCCATCCCTCCATGCTCCTCAATCCCATCCCTCCATGCTCCTCAATCCCATCCCTCCATGCTCCTCAATCCCATCCCTCCATGCTCCTCAATCCCATCCCTCCATGCTCCTCAATCCCATCCCTCCATGCTCCTCAATCCCATCCCTCCATGCTCCTCAATCCCATCCCTCCATGCTCCTCAATCCCATCCCTCCATGCTCCTCAATCCCATCCCTCCATGCTCCTCAATCCCATCCCTCCATGCTCCTCAATCCCATCCCTCCATGCTCCTCAATCCCATCCCTCCATGCTCCTCAATCCCATCCCTCCATGCTCCTCAATCCCATCCCTCCATGCTCCTCAATCCCATCCCTCCATGCTCCTCAATCCCATCCCTCCATGCTCCTCAATCCCATCCCTCCATGCTCCTCAATCCCATCCCTCCATGCTCCTCAATCCCATCCCTCCATGCTCCTCAATCCCATCCCTCCATGCTCCTCAATCCCATCCCTCCATGCTCCTCAATCCCATCCCTCCATGCTCCTCAATCCCATCCCTCCATGCTCCTCAATCCCATCCCTCCATGCTCCTCAATCCCATCCCTCCATGCTCCTCAATCCCATCCCTCCATGCTCCTCAATCCCATCCCTCCATGCTCCTCAATCCCATCCCTCCATGCTCCTCAATCCCATCCCTCCATGCTCCTCAATCCCATCCCTCCATGCTCCTCAATCCCATCCCTCCATGCTCCTCAATCCCATCCCTCCATGCTCCTCAATCCCATCCCTCCATGCTCCTCAATCCCATCCCTCCATGCTCCTCAATCCCATCCCTCCATGCTCCTCAATCCCATCCCTCCATGCTCCTCAATCCCATCCCTCCATGCTCCTCAATCCCATCCCTCCATGCTCCTCAATCCCATCCCTCCATGCTCCTCAATCCCATCCCTCCATGCTCCTCAATCCCATCCCTCCATGCTCCTCAATCCCATCCCTCCATGCTCCTCAATCCCATCCCTCCATGCTCCTCAATCCCATCCCTCCATGCTCCTCAATCCCATCCCTCCATGCTCCTCAATCCCATCCCTCCATGCTCCTCAATCCCATCCCTCCATGCTCCTCAATCCCATCCCTCCATGCTCCTCAATCCCATCCCTCCATGCTCCTCAATCCCATCCCTCCATGCTCCTCAATCCCATCCCTCCATGCTCCTCAATCCCATCCCTCCATGCTCCTCAATCCCATCCCTCCATGCTCCTCAATCCCATCCCTCCATGCTCCTCAATCCCATCCCTCCATGCTCCTCAATCCCATCCCTCCATGCTCCTCAATCCCATCCCTCCATGCTCCTCAATCCCATCCCTCCATGCTCCTCAATCCCATCCCTCCATGCTCCTCAATCCCATCCCTCCATGCTCCTCAATCCCATCCCTCCATGCTCCTCAATCCCATCCCTCCATGCTCCTCAATCCCATCCCTCCATGCTCCTCAATCCCATCCCTCCATGCTCCTCAATCCCATCCCTCCATGCTCCTCAATCCCATCCCTCCATGCTCCTCAATCCCATCCCTCCATGCTCCTCAATCCCATCCCTCCATGCTCCTCAATCCCATCCCTCCATGCTCCTCAATCCCATCCCTCCATGCTCCTCAATCCCATCCCTCCATGCTCCTCAATCCCATCCCTCCATGCTCCTCAATCCCATCCCTCCATGCTCCTCAATCCCATCCCTCCATGCTCCTCAATCCCATCCCTCCATGCTCCTCAATCCCATCCCTCCATGCTCCTCAATCCCATCCCTCCATGCTCCTCAATCCCATCCCTCCATGCTCCTCAATCCCATCCCTCCATGCTCCTCAATCCCATCCCTCCATGCTCCTCAATCCCATCCCTCCATGCTCCTCAATCCCATCCCTCCATGCTCCTCAATCCCATCCCTCCATGCTCCTCAATCCCATCCCTCCATGCTCCTCAATCCCATCCCTCCATGCTCCTCAATCCCATCCCTCCATGCTCCTCAATCCCATCCCTCCATGCTCCTCAATCCCATCCCTCCATGCTCCTCAATCCCATCCCTCCATGCTCCTCAATCCCATCCCTCCATGCTCCTCAATCCCATCCCTCCATGCTCCTCAATCCCATCCCTCCATGCTCCTCAATCCCATCCCTCCATGCTCCTCAATCCCATCCCTCCATGCTCCTCAATCCCATCCCTCCATGCTCCTCAATCCCATCCCTCCATGCTCCTCAATCCCATCCCTCCATGCTCCTCAATCCCATCCCTCCATGCTCCTCAATCCCATCCCTCCATGCTCCTCAATCCCATCCCTCCATGCTCCTCAATCCCATCCCTCCATGCTCCTCAATCCCATCCCTCCATGCTCCTCAATCCCATCCCTCCATGCTCCTCAATCCCATCCCTCCATGCTCCTCAATCCCATCCCTCCATGCTCCTCAATCCCATCCCTCCATGCTCCTCAATCCCATCCCTCCATGCTCCTCAATCCCATCCCTCCATGCTCCTCAATCCCATCCCTCCATGCTCCTCAATCCCATCCCTCCATGCTCCTCAATCCCATCCCTCCATGCTCCTCAATCCCATCCCTCCATGCTCCTCAATCCCATCCCTCCATGCTCCTCAATCCCATCCCTCCATGCTCCTCAATCCCATCCCTCCATGCTCCTCAATCCATCCCTCCATGCTCCTCAATCCCATCCCTCCATGCTCCTCAATCCCATCCCTCCATGCTCCTCAATCCCATCCCTCCATGCTCCTCAATCCCATCCCTCCATGCTCCTCAATCCCATCCCTCCATGCTCCTCAATCCCATCCCTCCATGCTCCTCAATCCCATCCCTCCATGCTCCTCAATCCCATCCCTCCATGCTCCTCAATCCCATCCCTCCATGCTCCTCAATCCCATCCCTCCATGCTCCTCAATCCCATCCCTCCATGCTCCTCAATCCCATCCCTCCATGCTCCTCAATCCCATCCCTCCATGCTCCTCAATCCCATCCCTCCATGCTCCTCAATCCCATCCCTCCATGCTCCTCAATCCCATCCCTCCATGCTCCTCAATCCCATCCCTCCATGCTCCTCAATCCCATCCCTCCATGCTCCTCAATCCCATCCCTCCATGCTCCTCAATCCCATCCCTCCATGCTCCTCAATCCCATCCCTCCATGCTCCTCAATCCCATCCCTCCATGCTCCTCAATCCCATCCCTCCATGCTCCTCAATCCCATCCCTCCATGCTCCTCAATCCCATCCCTCCATGCTCCTCAATCCCATCCCTCCATGCTCCTCAATCCCATCCCTCCATGCTCCTCAATCCCATCCCTCCATGCTCCTCAATCCCATCCCTCCATGCTCCTCAATCCCATCCCTCCATGCTCCTCAATCCCATCCCTCCATGCTCCTCAATCCCATCCCTCCATGCTCCTCAATCCCATCCCTCCATGCTCCTCAATCCCATCCCTCCATGCTCCTCAATCCCATCCCTCCATGCTCCTCAATCCCATCCCTCCATGCTCCTCAATCCCATCCCTCCATGCTCCTCAATCCCATCCCTCCATGCTCCTCAATCCCATCCCTCCATGCTCCTCAATCCCATCCCTCCATGCTCCTCAATCCCATCCCTCCATGCTCCTCAATCCCATCCCTCCATGCTCCTCAATCCCATCCCTCCATGCTCCTCAATCCCATCCCTCCATGCTCCTCAATCCCATCCCTCCATGCTCCTCAATCCCATCCCTCCATGCTCCTCAATCCCATCCCTCCATGCTCCTCAATCCCATCCCTCCATGCTCCTCAATCCCATCCCTCCATGCTCCTCAATCCCATCCCTCCATGCTCCTCAATCCCATCCCTCCATGCTCCTCAATCCCATCCCTCCATGCTCCTCAATCCCATCCCTCCATGCTCCTCAATCCCATCCCTCCATGCTCCTCAATCCCATCCCTCCATGCTCCTCAATCCCATCCCTCCATGCTCCTCAATCCCATCCCTCCATGCTCCTCAATCCCATCCCTCCATGCTCCTCAATCCCATCCCTCCATGCTCCTCAATCCCATCCCTCCATGCTCCTCAATCCCATCCCTCCATGCTCCTCAATCCCATCCCTCCATGCTCCTCAATCCCATCCCTCCATGCTCCTCAATCCCATCCCTCCATGCTCCTCAATCCCATCCCTCCATGCTCCTCAATCCCATCCCTCCATGCTCCTCAATCCCATCCCTCCATGCTCCTCAATCCCATCCCTCCATGCTCCTCAATCCCATCCCTCCATGCTCCTCAATCCCATCCCTCCATGCTCCTCAATCCCATCCCTCCATGCTCCTCAATCCCATCCCTCCATGCTCCTCAATCCCATCCCTCCATGCTCCTCAATCCCATCCCTCCATGCTCCTCAATCCCATCCCTCCATGCTCCTCAATCCCATCCCTCCATGCTCCTCAATCCCATCCCTCCATGCTCCTCAATCCCATCCCTCCATGCTCCTCAATCCCATCCCTCCATGCTCCTCAATCCCATCCCTCCATGCTCCTCAATCCCATCCCTCCATGCTCCTCAATCCCATCCCTCCATGCTCCTCAATCCCATCCCTCCATGCTCCTCAATCCCATCCCTCCATGCTCCTCAATCCCATCCCTCCATGCTCCTCAATCCCATCCCTCCATGCTCCTCAATCCCATCCCTCCATGCTCCTCAATCCCATCCCTCCATGCTCCTCAATCCCATCCCTCCATGCTCCTCAATCCCATCCCTCCATGCTCCTCAATCCCATCCCTCCATGCTCCTCAATCCCATCCCTCCATGCTCCTCAATCCCATCCCTCCATGCTCCTCAATCCCATCCCTCCATGCTCCTCAATCCCATCCCTCCATGCTCCTCAATCCCATCCCTCCATGCTCCTCAATCCCATCCCTCCATGCTCCTCAATCCCATCCCTCCATGCTCCTCAATCCCATCCCTCCATGCTCCTCAATCCCATCCCTCCATGCTCCTCAATCCCATCCATCTCATTCCTCCCTTCACAATCTCTCCCACCCCACTTCCCCATGCATGCATTCCCTCTCGTCGCAAACTCTTGTCCCTCCCTCCCTCCCCTCGTCTCCCCATCCTCGACCCCAGGCAAAGCTCAGGTGGAAGTGGCCACAGGCACTCACAGGGTTCAGCTCTCGTTCGCTTCTTCTTCACACTCAACCCCTCTGCCTCCCTTTTCCTCCAACCAACCCCACCCATGCCTTGCAGGCGAGCTGCAGGTGGCGGCGTGGATAGGCGTGAGGGCGGACGAGCAGTTTGCAGAGGCATGGCAGTCGGACGTGCACGGAGTGGCACACCACCGCTCGCGCACCTACCCCTCTCCACGCCTCTGGTACCTGCGCGTACACCCCTGCAAGCTGGAGCACCTCTCTGTACCGCGTGTTGCGCCCAACCTTGTGAGTTCTGAGACGTCTAAAAGGCCACGCCTCTGGTATGCCTCTGGTACCCCTCTCCACGCCTCTGGTATGCTTCTAGTACCCCTCTCAACGCCTCTGCCTCTGTTTTCCCTCTCAAGCTGATATGCCTCATCTAACGGCATGTGCCCTCATGTGCTCTCATGTGCTCCCTCTGTGCTCTCATCTCATGTGATGGTCACTTTCTGGATCAGAGCCCATGTCGTTCCAATCCCATTCTTTCCCCCACCCATCATCCCTGCACCCTCCCACCAATCAGGTGGTGCGGCTACGAGTGCCCTGCGGCATGCAGGTGCAGACAGGCCCCGCCACCCACCGCACTCCGGCACCGCCCGGCGAAAGTTATGCTGGCGGGGTGGGTGACCGCAAAGCGAGCGGCTGTAGCGACGAGGAGGATGAGGATGACGAGGGGGAGGAGGGCGACGAGGAGGGTGAGGAGGGGAATCGGGAGGAGGAGAGGAGAGTGGGTGGAGATGAGGGTAGCGGTGGTGGCGGGAAGGAGAGGAGCAGCCCACCCAAGGGAGCAGCGACGGGTGCGGTAGCAAGCCCAGGCTCACGCCCTGGCAGTCCTGCTGTCACAGGCGCAGGGACAGACGTGCCAGCCGGCCCACAAACAGCCACAGGCATGGGCGCAGGCACGGGCACAAGTGAAGAAGCAAGTTCAGGTGGCCTGAGGCAGCGGCTTGGGCAGCGATTGCAGAACAGGCAGGTCAATGTGAGCAACGCCATGGGCAACGTGAGCAACGCCATGGGCAACGTTAGCAACGTCATGGGCAACGTTAGCAACGCCATGGGCAATGTGAGCAACGCCATGGGCAACGTTAGCAACGCCATGGGCAATGTGAGCACCGCTATTGGCAACGTGGGCAGTGCTATGGGCAGCATGCGGGGCCTTGGGGGCAGCCTGCGCAGCATAGGAGGCAGCGTGCGCATTCCCCCTGTCTTCCCCCTCCGCAGGGCCATAGCAGATGGGGCCAAGACAGGTGCAGGACCAGGCGCAGCGCAGGGCGCAGAGCAGGGCGCAGGGCAGGGCGCAGAGCAGGGCGCAGGGCAGGGCGCAGGGCAGGGCACGGAGCATAGGACAGGGCAGGGCACAGGGCAGGGCGCCAGGGAGCGGACAGGCGCAGGCAGGGTTGCAGGAGGGGAGGAGGGGCGGGAGGAGGGCGTGTGGGTGTGGAGCGAGGGCGATGAGCAGGTGGTGGTGGTGGCGGAGCCACTCAATGGGCACCTGCACGTGCAGATCGTGAATGTCATCTCGTCCTCCTGGGTGAGTTCTGAGGCTACAGTTGACTCACATGTCACCTGCACGTGCAAGGGCGGTCTGTCCCTGTCATGTCGCGTTTTTGAGTAAGGCCACGCAGGTAGCCTAGCCAGGCCAGTTAGCCCCTTTGTTTTCCATCAACGCCCCCCCACACACCCTTAACACCCCTCCCTCCACCCCCTGTGGCAGGAAGAGGTGGTGGCATCAGCAAGTGTTCTCATCTCCTCCATCCCCACCCGCATCACCCTCAACCCCCTCGAACCCATTTCAATCGCTCTCCAAACCACTGCCTCTACCATTCCTGCAGCCATCACCACTGCAAACCGTACCCCCTCTGCCGACTCTCTCGAATCCCCCTCTAAACAATCCCCAGCCCCCATTCTCGCCTCCTCCCTCTCCACCTCCTTCCTTTCCCTCTCCTCCTCCCCTCCCTCCTCCTCCTCCTCCCCCACGCCTCTCCTCTCCCTCCTCCTCGCTCTGGAGGGCGGCCACCACGTATTCACCCAGCACCCCCGCTTCCTCTCCTCCCCGCTCCCCGCCGCCCGCTCCCTCTACCCGCCGCCCATCGCGCGCCTCGAGATCGGAATCATATCGGCGAAGAATCTGCAGCGGCCGGTGCCGAGCTCACTGGGGAGTGCGGGGATGGATGTATATGTGGTGGTGCGGTATGGCGGCATGTGGGCGCGCACAAGGACTGTGAGCGGGGAAGTTAACCCTGTGTGGCGCGAGCAGTTCAACTGGCCTGTCTACGACCTCTGCACTGTTGTCACCATCGGCATCTTTGAAAACAAGTGAGTGGGACTTGTGGGTTGATTCAAAAGCTCGCTGGGGAATGCGGGGATGGATGTGTACGTGGTGGTGCGGTATGGGGGCATGTGGGCGCGCACCAGGACTGTGAGCGGGGAGATTAACCCTGTGTGGCGCGAGCAGTTCAACTGGCCTGTCTACGACCTCTGCACCGTTGTCACCATTGGTGTCTTTGAAAACAAGTGAGTGGGACTTGTGGGTCGATTCACGAGCTCGCTGGGAAGTGCGGGGATGGACGTGTATGTGGTGGTGCGGTATGGCGGCATGTGGGCGCGCACCAGGACTGTGAGCGGGGAGGTCAACCCTGTGTGGCGCGAGCAGTTCAACTGGCCTGTCTACGACCTCTGCACCGTTGTCACCATCGGCATCTTTGAAAACAAGTAAGTGTGTGTGCCCACGATGTGCCATCACTGCTCCCTCCCCTTCCCCTCATGCCGTGTCTTGCAATCCAGGAACCCCACTTCTTCCCTTCTCAACTTCCCCCTCTCATCCGCCCATCCCCCATCCCCAATCCCCCATTCCCCCATCCCCTACTTCCCCCACCGCCCCCACCCCCCACCAGGCACAACAGGGGCGTGACCACGTCAACAGACACCCCTCTGGGTCGCATCCGCATGCGCCTCAGCGCCATAGACTCCACGCGCGCCATCTCCTCGCACCAGCCGCTGCTGTGCCTCACCAAGAAGGGCGTGAAGCAGCTGGGCCACCTGCACCTGGCCCTGCGCCTCTCCCCCGCCATCCGCCTCTCCCGCCTCGCTGCCACCTACATCCGCCCCACGCTCCCCCCCGCGCACTACCACTTCCCCATCCCGGAATCCCAAGAACCAGCCCTCTTACAGGAGGCGGTCGGCCTGCTGTGTGCGCAGCTGGGAGCATTCGACCCGCCGCTGCGAGCCGAGGTGGTGCAATACATGGGGGAGTGCGATGAAGACGTGCTGTCAGTGCGGCGGCTTAAAGCCAACCTGCAGCGGATCAAAATGCTGCGGGCACAGTTCTCAGCCATGGCTGCTGGCTTCAAGGCCGTGCGGTCCTGGGAGAGCCCTCCTCTCACGCTCACCGTTCACGTGGCCTACGCTTTCGCACTGTTCTACCCGTCCTTCATCCTCCCCACGCTCTTCTTTCTCCTGGCCTGGCAACTGCTCGCCTCCTCCCCCACTCGCCCCCTTGGTCCGCCTCTGATGGATCTGAGGCTTTCGCAGGGGGAGGGTAGGGAAGTGGGGGCGGAGATGGGAGGGGAGGAGGGGGATGATGGGGATGAGGAGGACGAAGAGCAGGAAAAAGGTGGTTCCGGTCCAGTGGCGTACTATAAGGTATGAGCAGGGGCATGGGAGCGGTGTGCTCGTGAGATACTTCTTTTATCTCATTTGCACCGCCATCATGCTTCAAACCCATTGCACTCTTCCGTTCTCCCTCCCCCCCCTTTCTCTCTTTGACCTTCCTCCTCCCCCACTCTGCTCTGCTCTGCTGTGCTCTGCTCCCTGCAGGCCCTGAGGGCCAAGTACGACAAGCTCATGGACGGTGCAGGGAGGGTGCAACGGGGCCTTGGGGTCATTGCTGACTCAGCAGAGAAGATAGAGATGCTGCTGACGTGGCGAGATCCAAGGTGAGGCCGTACACTCCCTCTCATCAACCCTCCCACCATGACCCATAACTTTCACACTCCTCACTTCCCGTTTCTTGCCCTTCCTGGATATCACACACACCACCCACTGACAATTGATGTCGCACCATCCCACCGTCCCTAGATGTCAGTTGTACATTGTTCTGGACTCTCTTCCCCCTCACCCCTCCACCCTCACCCCCACCACACGTCCTCCCCTCTCATCGCCTCTAAGCCACGTTCCTGCTGATACCACTGTGCATGGCACCCATACTGCTGCTGCTCTTTTGACCCACCTCAAGTGTCCCCGTTTTGCACCTTCCTCCCCTTCCCCCGATTTCGCCTCAGAACCACATTCCTGCTCATGTCACTGTGCACAGCACTCATGCTGCTGCTCTTTTGACCCACCTCAAAAGTCAGTCTCTGCTTAACCCCCTGCTTCCTTTCCCACCCCCACAGAGCCACGTTCCTGCTCATGTCACTGTGCACGGCGCTCATGGCTCTGCTGCTGCTGCTGCCCTTCCGCCCTGTGGCGCTAGCAGCGGGCTTCTGGGCAATGAGACACCCGCGCCTGCGCCGCATCACGCCCACCAAGGTCAAGTGCTTCCTCGCTCGCCTGCCCACCCGCGCCGACACCATATACTGACGACTACTGAGGCATCTCAAAAGGTGGGCTTCTGGGCGCTCAGTCACCCACACCCACGCCTGCGCCCCATCACGCCCACCACCAAGGTGAAGTGCTTCCCTGCTCGCCTGCCTACCCGCACCGAAACCATCTACTGAGCATGTGAGCACGGGAGGCATATGGGTTTGCGTGCCGCTGCACTGCTGCTGCTGCTGCTGCTGCTGCTGCTGCTGCTGCTGCTGTTGCTGTTGCTACGTGTGTGAAGGGAGTTGGTGTGCTAGACTGCAATGTGAGCGGTGATAGTGTTCCTTGGGTAGAGAAGCAATGAGTTGCACGGGTTTATGGTGAGGACAGCGGATGTGGCTTGCCTGCAGCTTTCAAGCTGAAGTGCCCCAGCTTCCGTTACAACAGTGATTCCCTCGTTGCATTAGAGAAGATATGTACATGTATATTATACAGGTATGTATTATTCCATCGGCCTCACAGCCATCTGCCCACCAAGACCACGAAGCATCCCTTCCGGCTCAACCCATCTTCACTCAGCCTCCAATCCTAGCTTTACGATCGCTACCTGTGGTGTCTGTCCCTGCCTGCTCCGCGTGCTCCTTGTCACCACTGCCCACACCACCTGTCACACCAGCAGCACCCACACCGCCCTTGCCCGTCCGCTCCTGCCACTGCAGCTGACACTCCTTGAGCTGCGTCTCGTACCCCATCCCCCTTTCAAACTGCTCCGCTAAGCGGTCCACAGCGAGCTCAGGGCCCGTGAGGTCTGCTCGCATCTGCCGCCTCTCCTCCAGCTGCACCCTGTATCGTTGCTCCACCGCTGCAGGAAGGGGGATGGGGAAAGGGGATGAGGGGGAAAGAGGTGGGAGGGCACAGCGAATGGAAGGCAGGGAGGGACAGTGCATGAGTGGAGTGAGGGAGTGTTGGGAACTTGAGAGTTTGTTGAGAGAAAAGGGTGAAATATGGCAGCGCCGGTGGCAAGCACAAGATTGAATGCGAACAACCAGCAGCAGCGCACCTTTAGGCAGTTCCGGTTTCAGCTGTCCGTCAGCAAAGAACGCCCCCATGAGCTGCGGCACCCCCAGCGGCAGCGCATCACCCCTGTCAAACTGCCAGAAGTGCCACGTCTTGCCAAACGTCTTCACGAGCTTGCTCATGACAGGCAGCTCTGCCACTGCGGGCATGCCCGGCATGATGAGCAGCCCGCTCTTGACCTCATATTCGTGCGAGTGCCACATGCGCTGCTCCTCCTCGGGCAGCGAGAGGAAGATCTTATCGGAGACGATGAACTCGACGCCGATGAGGCGCGCAGAGGGCTGGTCGGAGTCGTACACGAGGCACTGGTGCACGTCCTCTGAGACGTGCGAGCAGTAGTGGTGCGCCTCGACTTGTCGCGTCATGTCGTTGGCATAGTAGTGGAACCTGGTGGGGTGTATGGTGGGGGGGGAGGAATGGGCAGCAGTGCCGGATAGGCTATTTCATGGTCTTGGTGGGATGGCTCATTCCAGCCAATCCCGGCTCATTCCAGCTAATCCCAAGGCGGGCATCAAGGAACAACGCAAATACAGTCGGAAGGTAGTCAAATGGATTTGCAAGCGAATAAAGGCAAACAAATAGAGAAGACCAATCGGATCGGTCCGAGCAAGCAGACGAGCGAAGGATGGAGAAGGAAGCAGCAAGGAACGATCTAGGGTCCTCTGGCAGGACTGACGCGCAGAAATGTTGGCCGATCTGGCGGATGGGGCCGAACTGCTGCACGGCGCTCGCGCCCGTCTCCATCACCCTCGTCGTCACGCTCTTCGCCCCGCCCGGCACGTCCGAGAACTCTGAGGCCGCCGCGCCGCCCGTCGACAAGGGCTTGTGCGCCGCCATGACGTCGCAATGCGCTCGCGAGGAACGATCTGGATAGTACGGCGCGGAAAGTTGCGCAGAATAGCGTTGACGGACAGGACGGACAGGAAAACACACAGCGTCGCACCCTTGCGAAGGAAGCTGATCCCTATATACAGCAGGTCGAAGACTTGAGCAAGAGCCTGATCTCCCGGGGAGGGAGATCGGGAGATAGTTCACGGCTTGCCCCGAAAGGGCTGCTCCAGCAGCGTGCGTGCGGAAGCGCCCGCAGTATGGCGTGCATGCAGGTGAGAATGTGACGTTCGATGTGCACGTGGTGAGGGGTGGGGATCGTTGGAGGAAGAAATGTGGGGACAGGACGAGATTACGAGGGGGACGGGCCGAAATGTCCGTTTGCAATTTCACAACAAATGTGTGATGCGCGATGCTTAGGATCTTGAATCTTGATCCGCGAGTGGGTGTCAACGTTCAATGTGTATATACTTGGAAAAAAAAAAACATACACTACAATTACAATCAATACAATATGAGCTAGTTCCCAAATACCATCACATTACAGGAATGCTATCTGCGACCTCCGGAATCTCCTAACAGCAGCATGCTGTCCGATTCGGAAGCTGCCTCAGATTCAACTCCAGCTTGTTGCTCTTGGCTTGCATTCTCTGCACCTCCAGACAACCCATCCAACAAGACTTGGTGCGCTAACAGCCCATCACTTGGCAACGACCCCACCAAGACAGGAGGCGACTGTCCCTCACATGCCGAGAGCACCGCATCACCTGATCCTGCTCGCACCAACCCCTCAGACCCCCCCGGACACTCCACCGGCACCACCTTGCTGCTACCCTTCTCCCTCTGCCCCTTCCCCAGCAGCAACCCATTCTCACTGTCACCCACATTACCATCCCCATCAACCCCATCCCGCACACCAGCCCCACCGTCCTCCTTCCCACTCGCTCTTTTACTTGCCGCCCCATCAAACCCGTCCTCGCCCTCACTGCCCTCATCCTCATCCTCCATGAGGGCAACGTCTGGCAGGCCCGGGTCCTGAGTGAACTTGAACACGCCGTGCTGCTTCGCCCACATGAGCAGCGGGTACAGCAGCAGTCCCACCAACGCTGCTATTGAGCTGCCAGGAGGATGGGCGAAGGACGGCAAGACGCATGGAGAATGGGGGTAAAAAGGAGGTGAAGAGGATGTGGGAGAAGTGCAAAATCTTGTGTGGGGGAGGGGGGAAAGGGAAGCTGGCAATGGCGAATGCACACCTCTTAGTGAAGCACCTCATGCCTCCCACCCTACGATTCCCATCTCACACCTCCCACCTCCCACCGCCCACCTTCCACCTCCCACCTCCCAGATTGCACCCCACGCCTCACGCCCGATGCCTCACCTGGCAATGACGGTCTGCCAGGAGGCGAGCACCATGACGAGAATCAGCAACAGCGAGGGCGGCAGACACAGCAGCACTGCTCCCATAGTGTCCACCGGGATCCTGCTAAGTGAAAAGCAGTGCACGGGAGAGAAGCAGTGGCCATGTGTGGGCATGGAGGAGGGGCATGGAGGAGAGGGCATGGAGGAGGAAACATGGGGGGAAAGGCATGCGGGAGAATGCATGGGGGAAAGGCATGCGGGAGAATGCATGGGGGAAAAGGCATGGGGAAGGGGGAGGAGCGGGTAGGGAGGGGGGAGAGGACAAAAGATTACATTTAAACCACATCGAGATAGAGAAGGGCCACTTGTTGTTAGGCAAGGCATGATTGACGCAACAAGGTTGAGAGCGCACGAGCCCGTGCCTGTATGGGCGGGGCAGTTCCGGCTGTGTGACGCGGAGCGCCACAAAGGCCCCGAACTCGAGCAGCATGCCGAAGCAGTAGAGGAAGTTTTGAGACGACTCACAACTAGCACACGGACACATACTTGTATGGCCGAGGCAGGTCGGGCTGTGTGACCCGGAGCGCCACAAAGGCCCCGAACTCGAGCAGCATGCCGAAGCAGTAGAGGAAGTTGAGGAACTCGACGATCTGCTGGAAGCTCATCCACGACAGCAGCAGGATGCCCGTGGCGCTGCACAGTATGCCCAGCACGGGCGTGCCGTGCCGTGAGCGGTACGTGAAGACCTCGGGCAGCATGCCGCGCTCCGCCATCCCCAGCAGCTGAAACGCGTCGCTGCGTGGGTGCGCAGGGGAAGGGCGGGAGGGTGGGAGGGAGGGAGAAAATGGTGGGTTGGTGCTGCAGTGGCATGCGATTGAGAGGGGAGGGGGCTGGGACTATGAGACGGAGAGGTGAGTGGTAGGAATGAGGCCGGTGGGATGAAGGAGTGTAGATTTAGAAGCATGAACGGTGCAATAATGCAATTCCTTCAGGTTCCAAAGATGCACATGCAACCACCCATCTCCATACCTGCTCATCTCTGTCTCAAACGCGTCCTTGTTGGGAAGCGCAGCCGCACACGCGATTCACCAGGCGAGCCAGCCAGCCGGCACCGAACTGACACTTCAGTCAACTCAGAAGTGCCCAACAAACACACCTGCTCATCTCGGCCTCGAACGTGCCCATGTTGGAAAGTGCCGCAGCAGCCGCGATCCACCAGGCGAGCCAGCCGCCTCCAATGGCGCGACCCACCACGGCAAGGTACCCATCGTCCCAGCCGTCTGGAGAGAAGGGCACGGCGCCCGTGCCTGTGAGCAGCGAGCACACACACATCTCCGCCCCACGCACACACACCTGCTCATCTCAGCTTCAAAAGCGCCCATGTTGGAAAATGCAGCCGCAGCTGCGATCCACCAGGCCAGCCAGCCGCCCCCGATGGCGCGACCCACGACCGCCAGGTACCCGTCGTCCCAGCCGTCTGGGGAGAAGGGCACGGCGCCTGTGCCTGTCAGCAGTGGCACGAGGTACGACACCACCACCAGCACCACCGCCCCCATGAGCGCCCGCGGGAAGGTGCGCTTCGGCTCCTCTATCTCGCCCGCTAGCGTGCTGTTATGGTGGCGAGAGGGCCGGGGGGGGGTTGGGGGGGTGTGTGCAAGCAGAATGGCACACATTCGGCAGGAAAGGATGGAGGGGATGCAGAAAGAAAAGTGGATGGTGTGGGAGGTTGAAATGAGTGAGGCAGACAGCCGTGGTTGAAACGAAGACAACAGAGTGCCCACCTGACGGAGCACCCACCTGACGGAGCACCCACCTGACGGAGCACCCACCTGACGGAGCACCCACCTGACGGAGAACCCACCTGACGGAGCACCCACCTGACGGAGCACCCACCTGACGGAGTCCCAGTAGTTGAGGTTCCAGAAGAGTGTGTTGAAGTACCCCCGCCACTGCACTCGGTTCAGATCCACCACCAGCCTGCCACCCATCCATACCCATCCATACCCATCCACACCCCGCAAACAGAGACAGAAATGAGACTCAGGGTTTTGAGGCGCCTCAGAAGAGTGTGTTGAAGCACCCCCGCCACTGCACACGGTTTAGATCCACCACCAGCCTGCCATTACGCACGCTCTCACCACGCAAACAGAGAGATGGAAATGAAACGCTGGGCTATAAAAGCTGGAGGAAAAACGCATCTCGGAAAAGGAGGAGCAGGCAGAGTGTGATCCACACTGACAAGCCCTCATGTGCTCTTGTCCCCTTCCCTTCACTCCCCTCCCCTCTCCTCCCCTACTCTCCCTCCCCCTACCCTCTCCTGCCCTCACCCGCCCTCCCCTTCCCTTCCCTTCCCTCCCCTCCCCTCCCCTCTTCTGCCACCCAACCCTGCTACTCAGCAAACAGCCCCCCCCCCCCCCCTTTCCCCCCCAATGCACAGACCAGCGGGCGGGTTGGATCTTGGGGATGGCGAGCAGCGCCATGACCACAAAGGGCAGCAGCCCGAACACTGCCAGCGCGATGGCAGTGGCGCCCACTATCGTGAGCCCGCGGTAGTTCACGTATGTCAGCACCTGGCCACAGCACGAAGGTTTGGGGGAGTCGCGGGGAGGAAGGTTAGGGGTGGGTTCAGGTTAGAACGCCTCAAAGCTCGCCGCCCACTATCGTGAGCCCGCGGTAGTTCACACGTATGTCAGCACCTGGCGGGCGGGACAGGGGCAGTCCCCAAGAGGGGGGAGACGGGAACAGTCCCAGGGAGGAAGGATAGAGGCGTGCTCGGGTTTTAAAACGCCTCAAAGCCTGTTGCCAACTATGGTGAGGCACATTCTTCCACATATTGAGTATCTCGAAAGGGGACCGTGGGGAGCAGAGCAGCAGTCCTTGGGCGAAGGGCTCAGGGGGATCGCCAACTGGGCTGGCCTCGAGAAAACGGAGTGTGTCAAGGAAGTGATGATCAAGCACCGGCGGAAATGTTGAGTAGAGGCAGCGCAAGACCAGAGCAGGAACACACCAGAGTCATTGCGAGCAGCGCGGCCATGCGAGGCAGGCCGCCGCCAAAGATAGGCAGCTCGCGCTTCAGGTAGTCGAGAAAGAGCAGCGGGTAGAGCGAGTTGTCTATCACGCCGCTCAGCCACTTCCACCACCCCTCCTGGAAGCCCCAGAATGGGCCAAACGCCGCTGACACCCACACCACGTAGCCCCCGTTCTCCGGGAAGGCTGTTCCTAGCTCCGCGGTGGTCAGGGCCTCTGGCACGCTCCATATCTGAGGGTATGGATGGGGAAGAAGGGATGGCGGAGCGGAAAATGGTGGTGCAGGGACCGGGGAATGACGAAGCGGGGAAAGGGGAAGTGGGGAGAGGGGAAAATGCGGGGAAGGAGTGGGGGGACCAGGAGAATTGGGTGAATTGTGGGTAGTGAAGGGGTGATGGGAGGAAGGAAAGGAAATGCAGGTGAATGAAGATATATTGATGGGAGTGAGTGGTGGTGGAATTGAGAGGCTGACATGGAAAACTGTGGAGTGTTGACGAGGCGAGAATAGGAGCGTGGGGAGAATACAAATGAATGCGTGGTGAAGAGGGTAGTGTGAGCGGATTGTGTGGGGTGTGGAGTTAGAGATGTAAAACGCGGAAGATGCGGAGGGTGTGGAAGCGCGAGCAGTGCGCACGAGGGGGAAGACGGTGAAGCCCAGGATGGCGAGCAGCGGCCCGCCGTACTTCACGGCGTCCTCCACGCCGTACGGCCCGCCAGACACCTGTAAGCACGAACGCGAACGAGAAGACGGGAAAATAAAATAAGATGAAAGGGAAAAGGAAATAAAGATATAAGAAAGACGAGAGCTGCTTCAGCCACGTCGCTTGAACACGCATGCAACTCATACCTAACCTAACCTAACCTAGCCTCTCCTCCTCTCACATCACATCAAGGATCGCGCCTACCCACCCATTGCTACGCCCGGCTAACCTCGAAGAAGATGAGCGCGATGAGCGGCAGCAGCGTCAGCTTCTGGCCGTGCGGCCCGTGGCTCTTCTCGAACTGCTCGTGCGCCACGTCCTGCCGGACAAAGGGACGCGCAATGACGACAATCGAAACGGTAACCTAGTCTTTTAACGAGGACAGCAGGTATTGCGATATTAGGTCGTCTAAAAGGGAAAACGGCTCGTAGTAAACGACTGTGCGGTCGGATTGCGGGACAAGATCGCGGGTACCTCATTCGAAAGCGGAGCTCCCTGCGTGAGCCGCTCCTTTTCTCCCGATACTCGCGACCCCATCGCTGGTTGCGCGCGGCACCGCGACGCCTGGCAGTGGAATAACAGAATTAGGTTCGCCAGCAACGGTCACCGCGACTTCAGCCCATACTTGAATTCGAAATTACCTTTCCCTTGCTGGAAACAGCGTCGCTAGAGCATGGGCCAATCAGTGGCGTCGCTAACGACTCTACCATAGGAGATCGGCTTCTTGCGCGCTGCCGCACAAACGGCGGAGATTCAGCGGTTATTACTGACACCAGGATGGGCCGCGGGGTCTCAGGGGACGAATGGTGCATTCGTGAAAGCTCTCTGCTCCACACTTCCGCTGGGATGGCTGTGCGCGTGAGACTGGAGGAATAATCCAATCCCAAGGAGAACGCTTCGTCTGAACTTATTACCAGTTCCCAAAGCTCGTCAAACCGCCATGGAGGGTCGGGTCAGGCAGAATCGAGGAAGTGCATTATGGGTACTTGAAAAGTGTCGAGTGCATCTCGGCCGTCCGATGAAGAAGCCGGCCAATCCCGAGGAGTGCGCGGAGTACTGTAAGGGGCGCCGGGGACACACTGCGGAAGGCTTGCCGGGCTGTGCGATGAAGTCGATGAGCGCCGTGAAAGTGCGGCTGTCCTGGCTTTTTGGACACGTGGCAAGTATTGATTGCACGAATTTCACATGAGAACTCCACCTCCATGGTTTTCCGTTTGGTTGGAACAACTCGATTACGGTACAAACTTTCACAAAGCCAACTACACAAAGCAGAGTCACAAGAAGGTGCATTATCCTTCACCCTTTCTCAATCTTCTCTATTGTCTCCTTGAGAATCGCAGCACACTGTGCATATGCCCCTTCCAAATCCTTCACCAATTTCTGACTGCTCCGCCTTTGCTTCTCGACAATTCTTTCCACTTCCCCCTTCAGGCGTTGCTCCAATTCTTCCACTGACACCACTCCAGTCCCGTGCATTGCAGAAACCTTAACAAACTCTTCCAGGTGGCGAACGGCAGCCATCCCAGAAGCCATCACATCCACCAGCCCGTTAGCAGCAGCTCTCCGCACTTCAAACGTTTCTTCCCGAGTGAACCCCGACCAACGGGACCATTTAGCCTTCTTTCGCACTCCGCCATTTTCATCTCCCCCCGAGTTTGCCCCGTGATTAGCAGCTTCAGACACATCTGCATGGCGCCGCTTTCCGCATGCATTCCCTGGCAGGAAAACACGAATAGGCGCATGGATGACTGCCACATTCCATCAAAAAGGAGTGGGCGAATGGCGCAAGAGGTGGGGCAGACTGGGGGGTGAGCAGAAACGAGGAAGGGGGAGCATCAGAACGGGTTGAGTGCCCTAGGAGGCAAAGGACGGGACATGAGAAGGAGCACATACCAGAAACGCGAGGGTGAGTATGGGGAGTGATGCTGGGAGTCCTTGGAGCAGGGACGGTAGTAGCGGGTGAGGATGGCGTTGCAATGTGATCATCCTCCTCCTCCCTCTCCTCCGCTTCCTCCCCTTCCTCTTCCTCTTCTTCCTCTTCTTCCTCTTCTTCCTCTTCTTCCTCTTCTTCCTCTTCTTCCTCCCCCTCCTCTTCCTCTGCCCGCTCTTCCTCCGCCTCCTCTTCCTCCCCCTCCTCTTCCTCCGCCTCCTCTTCCTCCCCCTCCTCTTCCTCTGCCTCCTCTTCCTCACTCCCCTCCTCACTCCCCTCCTTACTCCCCTCCTCACTCCCCTCCTCACTCCCCTCCTCACTGCACTCCTCATTTGCATCACTCCTTCTCCTGACCTCCCAAACACCGTCCTCCTCCTCGTCTTCTTCCTCCGATTCACTCCCGTCTTCCGATTCGTTCCCCTCCTCTGATTCGACCATCCTCATTTCTTCTACTTCATCCTCATCCTCTCCCTCATCCTCCTCCTCCTCTTCCTCCACATCATCAGTATCATCAGTATCAGAAGACCCACTAACATATTCACCACTACTCCAACCCGCTTCCTCCCCTTCCTCACTCCACTCCCATTCCTCCTCTTGCCTCCTCATCCCCCTCCGTCCCGTTCCTCTCTCCACTCCTCTGCCCCTCTCCACTCCCCTGCCCCTCTCCACTCCCCTGCTCACACTCAACCACCTACCCACACTCAACCCCCTACCCACACTCAACCCCCTACCCACACTCAACCCCCTACCACTACCTTCATCCCCTTCCTCCCTCCGCCTCTTGCCCTCCCCTCGCGTCACCCTCCGCCTTTCCGTCTCCTGCCCCTTTCCCCCCGTGCCCTCCGCCTCCGCCACCTGCTGCGCCTGCAGCGCCCTCAGCTCCCGCCACCTCCTCTTCATCCACGCACTCCGCGCCCGCCTCAGCGCATCAGAGCAAGGCCGCCGCGCCACCACGCCCGGCCACTCCCCCGCCTGTTTCCTGCGGCTCTTCGCTCTCCTCCTCCCCTCAACCTCCTCCTCCGCTCCTGAGATCCCTCGCTTCCACCTTCCGCCCGCGGCTTTCCCCCCACCCGCATCTCTCCCCCCCAGCGTTTCTCTTCCCCTCGCCGCTTTTCTCCCCCGCGCCACCTCTCTGCCCAACCCCGCCTCTCTCCCCCCCGCCTTTACGTGCCCAGCACGCATGGCTCCCCTCCCTTTTCTCCCTCCCCCTCCCACCTCTCTCCCATCCTCCTCCCGCTGCCGACCTCCCGAAACTTTCCCGTGCTCTCTCGCGCGCGGCATTTGAGCACCTACTAGCGAATATCCTTTTTCGTGCTCCCCTCTCCCCCTTCGCCTTGCTAATCCGTCTTTACGCTTCCGTTCCCGTCACAAGCCCGTCTTTCCCGCCTTCCCTCCCGCGCTGTCTCCGCTTTCCCCCTCGCTTGTCAACCCTCGGTCAGCAACGCCCGCCTTCGTTCCGCTCCGCCCCGCGCCGTGAACCGCGGACGGGACAAACACCGCTTTCGTTACAAAAAACTGCTGCTCCCTGCACCCAGCGCGTTCGTGTCGCTAAACTGTACGCCGTTGCAGAGAGGACCACCGAATCGCTTCAAAACCACGTGCGTACAAGAGCGCGCTGAGTCGAATGTGCGAGTCTGGTCCGAAGCGGGTGCTCACGAGTGGCAATCGCGGTTATAGATGGCACAAGGTCGTCTCGCCACCACACTGCAGCTACAATATATTTCTATGCACCCTATGAAGAGGCGTCCAAACTTGTCTACAAGTAATTCTAAGAGTAATCGAACCTGATCCCAGTCAACCGGCTTGAGACATCTCAGAAGCGAGCACTTAGGACGGCTTTCACGATGTATGCTGCTGCTACGGACGTCGCGCGCTACTGAATCACGTGGAGCAACAGAGAGTGGCGCTGAGTCATCGTCATACGCATTTGGGAGAATCGGCGAGCGCAATTATTTGAACGGAATCTCTAATCAATCGCGGTCCTTGCTCATGGCGGAGGAGCAGGAAATAATTGCACGAGAATGTTTCATTTTCATGGAATTGGCAGATCTTACTAATGAGGGATCTGCAAAACGGTTGCTTGGTGAAATGTAATTTTGGCAGGAAACATCAAGAGTTGACAGCTCATTTACAGGTAGCATAACATATTTCAAATGCTAAGTTGAGCATAAAAAAGGAGAAAAAGGGGGAAAAAAAACTAACAGGCCGTCCATGCTCACTAACTTCCCCCTGAGCTTATCGGCACCAAACCCACAACACACACAAACACAGTGGCCACTGAACCAGGTCACATCATATCCGGAAAAGTATTTCCCCTGTTAATATTCGAGCGACCTGGCGCTACCATAGCAGCACGCGCCTGCATCAACCCCGCCGGATGCAGCGCTTGATCCATTACTCCCCATCCTGACATGTCGCAGAACCGGTTATCTACTTGCGCCGACGGCCCTTCCGCAACGGCCGTGCGACCGCAACCACCCGCATAATAATGGGCATTCCTTCTGGCGATATCGCCTTGCCCGGGAACTACTTGCGTATCCTCCATCTCGTTGTCAAAAGGGTTGCTCCGCGGCTCCTGTTGCCCTAACTTGCTCTGCTGGTGCCGTCTCGACGGCCGGGACTGAACCCCTCCGCCGGGCCCGCTGCTCACTTCATCCTCGCTATCGAAACTTCGCTGTTGGCTGTAAGCCGCATCAGGCTGAGCCTGAACGCTGCTCTCACACGCAGCACCAAACGGACCGTTCGCACGAGGCAGCGAAGCGCCGGAACGACGCGCAGAGCGGACGCAATCCAGCGAGCTTCGTCGGAGTGATGGGTCGTCGTGAGGAGCGTACAAGGCTGCATAATCATTGCCGGACGGGCCACCTTGTTCCTCTTTAACCGTAGACTGTCTCCCCGCAGCAGAGCTTCGGCGGTGAGACGGCCGTTCAAGCTCCTCCAGTTGAACGGACTTCCGCCGCGGCATAGCAGCTGGTGACGGAATGTCTTCTTCCATCGGAGCGGGGGCCTCAGGCTCCTGTGGCGAAGCAAAGGTTGCCATCGCCTTCTGCAGCTCTAGCCGCTGCCTTTGTGAGCGGTCTTTAGCGAGGAACCGAAACATGATTGTCTAACTGTGGTTAAACGGGACGAGGGGAGAATGTAATGGATCAAGCTATCTCGACACCAACTCAAGGCCTGCGAAAAGCAAATCTCGAGTACCGCCAATAAACTGATAGAAGATTGCTGATAGAACACGACTGGAAAGTTGAGTAAGCTGGTGCTGAACACCAGAAATCTCTAGAACCTAAATAGGTTGCAAGGAAATCGACAAGCGAAGTGGGGTTCACTAATTTGGCCTCAGAGAAGCGGCGAAGGGAGAAGAGGGACTCAGTCAGTCACAGCCGCAGAGGTAAACCAAGTTAGGACAGTGCCACAGAGGCCCACACACAAAGGCCCACACAGCGGCAAGGTAGCTGGCACTGGCAGGATGAGATGGCTGAAGGTGGCCGAAGGGGTTTGGAGAGAATCAGGTTTGTCGTTGCGGAGGAGAGATCAAGGGTTTCGTTCTGTTCCCTGGAGACATGCCACTGGCGGAGAATGTCCGCTCTGCTGCCGCTGTGATGCGATTTCGTGACGGTGTAGCACGTGATGGGGAATGTGATGGGAAGTCAGCGAATCCTCTCAGCAAATCGCCACTAATCAGCGGTGAGCTGGCGAGCAGTCGCAAGGAACGGCTGCGATTCTTTTACGGAACATCGACGTTGTGTAATGCAGGGTTTGTGTCGAGTCGAGATGCTTCGTAGGAACTGCTGTAGTTCTGCCATCCAAACTATTCGCTGCCCGTTCCCAGGTGGGTTAATCGATACTGATCTGGCAAGAAAATGCTGCAGCCGTGGCTTCATTGTGAGCACCCACGCCAACAAGTGCAAGATAGGCACAGATATTTGCCAATTCACCGAGGTTCTCAGAAATCAAAATAGTGGGATACGCACCAGCAATAAACACGGTCAGGAGTGAAAGCAAGCTGGCAGAAAGAAGTCAAAAATAACCATTATAGGACAAAGGGAGCTTTAGGACGTGGCCCAGACCGCCTCTGATCGGCGCTGATCTGATCGGGGCGGATCTGATCGGGTTGCTTGTGATTGCATTGCTCGCGCCGCCCGATCAGTACTGATATTCCTAGAAACTTCAAGGCTCCTGCCTCGCAAGCGTGCTAGCATTTCCTTATCCTTTCGTCCCAATTTAGGCGAGTACGAAGACGTAGCGAAAATTTATGTTTCCTTGTAATATCGTAAATGACACTTTAAATGATGCATGCGCGACGGCTTGACGAGATTCACGAGACACGGTAACGTATTCGCGGGCGTCGCCAAGATCCCCAAACCCATGCAATCAAGTGAACGTGACTGATTGTGTGTGATTGTTGTTGATTGGGGTGTTTGAGGCGGTTGATCGAGTTGGGGCGATCAATTGATCGCGATCAACTGATTGCCCCTGATTGCTTGAAATTGGCCCCGGGGCTTCCTGGAATTTGTTGATCGTCTCTGATCGGGGCGATCAGAGGCGGTCTGGGTCACATCCTTAGCGAGAAAATGAATTGAACTGCTTCCAAAATGTTACACGACATGGACTATTGCAATATAATTCAGATTATGGGATTTATTGAGAGGCAGCTGAAGCTGCATTTAGTTGAGGCTGCAAGATGAATCATTAATCACTAAGGCTGTAAAAAAAATCATTTGCATTTGTTACGAATAGTGATTATTGAAGTATCACTGTGCACTCCTTACCGCAGCAATCAAAGCACGCACTAGCGAGAATGAAGGCGAAAGGACGGAAGTGACACGAAGGGTCATACGGTTACGAAATGATATGGACAGTCGGGCAGACAGCATCAGGCAGCAGCAGTGGCGAGGATTATGCCCGGACAGTTTCGTAACTGTCTGGAGTCGCACGGTTGGATTTCGGTGTAATAAGGGAATGTACCCCTTAAAGTACATGGCTAGCTATGTCGATTGGTATTCCCTTGTACTCTTATTTATAGTGCTGTATTTGCATGTTATTGAGGTCAAGGGCCCACCACCACTACTCGGTCGTGTGCGAACCTTCCTGAGGTGATCCTAGGCACGATCAACTTCTGATCGCAACATGGTATGAGAGCGACTCAGGAATCCTTCGCACCGCCACCACCGAAATCTTCGGCGAACGGAAAGTGGCGTCCCGCACACGCTCACGCGTGAGGATGGCCGGAGGATCTGGTGGTCACACAAATCTGACGCCTGAAGCGTAGACCAACCCGGCTGCGACAAGCGAGGAAACGACGACGATTGGAACCGCCACCCTCGCACAGATGTTTCAGCGACTCACCAGCCTGGAGCAACAACTCCAAACATTGCGGAACGGCGACGCGGGAACTTCTTCCCAACCCTCTCAACCAGCCTCGAACGGCCACAATACCGCCCCGCATACCTTCTCCCTCGACACCAATGGCTCAACTCTCAAAACTCCCCGTCCCAGCGAAGAGGCAATTCTCTCTGCGCAATCAAGGTTTTTGAGTATATCAAAAATAAAGACAAGTGTGTGCTTTGACAGCAGAGACTTTTATACGTGGAGCTTCGAGTTGGAGCTGCTGCTGCAAAACGCGCAAATCTTCCACTATTTCGACGGGAGCTACTCGGGACCTACTGAAGACACTGACGACGTCAAGGCAAGGAACTACAACGAGTCCCTGATGGCGTACGGAGTTCCTCTGCGAAATATGTCGCCGGCGGAGCAATTGAGCATTCGCTCATACAAGACAACACCTGCTCCAGCCCTCGACCCTTGGCGCCACCTGAACGGCGTCTACCAACCGAAGGACTCGGTTTCGTCGAGCCGCCTACTCCAGCAGCTACTGGAGACAAGAATGGCACCAGGGGAGAAGGCCAACAGCTACATCAACCGCTGTCGGAGCTTACGCGATCAAATCGCAAAGTTGGGAAGCACGATCTCTGAGGAGATCTTCGTAAACATCGTGCTTCAAGGGCTCGGCCCAGAGTGGCGGCCCTGCAAGGCGCTTCTCCGACAGCAGGGGGTCATCTCGGAGGCCGCCCTATGCGCCGCCCTCCTCGTCGAACAACGGGATATGGACCAGCAGCGACCAGCGCCGCGACGAGACAGGGAACGCCTCGCCTTCTACGCCGACAACACGGAGGAGCGACGGCCGCGGCGCCTTTACTGCAAAATTTGCGGAAACTTCGGGCATCTGGCAGATCGATGCAAACATCGATCTCGCCCTCGTCAGACCAATCCGAGCAACTGGTCCGGACGACAAGTCGCAAGGAATGACACGCGTCCTGCCCAGGGCATCAACCCCCACCGCGCAACCTGAATCCAACGATTCAGCATCAGCAGCAGCAGCCACCAACTGCGCCCGTTCGCAACGGCATGGGCAACATGACAATGACGAGAGGATCTCGTCGTCCCCGTGCGCGCTCACCATCACCGGAGGAAGCACGTCACCCAATCGGAGCGTTTTCGAACAACAATCCGTTCAGCACACGCCACGATTTCACCGACGACGACAACCAGGACTGGAATCTGCCAGTCCCGCTGCTCGAGAGCCCCCCACACGTACCCGATACGAGGGTGGCACCGATCGATTGGATCGCGCGCAAACAATTCCTAAAGGTTGACACACCACAGATCGTTACTCCGCGACTGGCGCTGCTCGCACGTAACGACAACACAGGCGCTACAACACGTGGTACCTGGATAGCTATTGTGGGCAGCACATGGTGGGCTCCGAGCGTTACATATCCAACACCGTCGCCACCCCCGCCGTCACCTACGTCACAGTGGCGAACAACACGCGCCTGCGCGCAAACGCGCAAGGCATCGTTGTGCTCAAGGCCCGCGGGAGCAGGACGCACATCACGCTGAACGACGTGCTGATCGTGCAGAATCTGCGCTTTAATCTCCTCTCGGCGGCGCAGCTCATGGATTGCGGGGTCGACCTCAGCACCGACCCCGAGACACGGGACATTTTGCTGCACTTCACGATGCCCACAAAACGCGCAAGCAGATCGGGCGAGCGCACTCCGAAAACAGAGTTTACATCCTCGACTTCAGCATTCCCGACTGCAGCGGTGACTCTAAGGAGCTCATCGATCTCGTTCCCCTGCGTTTCGAACACATGCATCACCGTGACTGGAAGCACCCTGACGGAAGACCGTGGGTGCCTCATCACCCTCACCCGCGCGAAACGGCGCTGCATGACCCCGACCCCGACGGCATCTGCAGAGATTGCCCTACGCCCACAGCCTCAACAAGCACGATCGCCGGCCGTGGCCTTGCCGCCATCGCCGAAGCAGAGCGGGAAGCACCGCCTGAAGAAGGGCTGTCTCACCTGGAGCTCGAGACTGCCACACGCATCGTTTTCGGAACGGAGGAAACTCCTCTCCCTGGACCTGCATCACAGCATCTTCAAGGAATGCTGCGCGGCGTTGGTGTCGGCACCTTCGATGCGGAAAGAAATCCGCGACCCTACACGCAGGAGAAATTCCTGGAGATCTACGCTCACCAGCGCGACTCTACGAAGAAGCTGACCGTAGCGCAAGAGGAGGAACTGGTGCGCCGCGAAGCGGAAGAACTTCGCCAACGGAGCCTTGCGGAGTCGCGCGGAACATTCGCCTGGAGCGGATGGGGCGAAGAGGAGAGCGCCTCCAATGAAGGGGGGTGGGGAAGCGCTGGCGGATGGGGCACGAGCGATACTGGCGGCGATACCGGCGGGTGGGGAGCCGCAACTGGCGGCAACACTGGCGGCTGGGGAGCAGTCACCGGCGGCAACACCGGCGGATGGGGCGCCGCATCTGGCAGCGAAACAAGCGGCTGGGGAGCTTTCCGCGAGGACCAAAGGGGGGAAGAAGAAGAAATTGAGGACATTGAGGCCGAACCTCCTGTTGTTCCTCTTGGTCGTCCTCCGCGCCGCCCTGCACCCGCACTGCCCCCACCTGACATCCCGCCAGGAAGTGACCCTTGGGACACCATCAACTGGGGGAACGAGCCATCAACTCCGCGACGCACCGTCTACGGGCCTGCCCCCGAGCCGCGCGAACCAACCTTCTTCCCGGGAACCATCCC